GTAGAACATATTCAGCCTTTACCAGAACACGGTACTAAGTAGAGTGAGTGAGTTTAGTTTTACTCCGCACTCAGCAGTATTCCAGCTATATGGCAGCGGTCTGTAAATAATCGAGTCTGGACCAGACAATCCAGTGATCAACAGCATGAGCATCGATCTGCACAATTGGGAACCGATGACATGTGTCAACCAAGTCAGCGAGTCTGACCATCCGATCCCATTAGTCGCCTCTTACGACAAGCATGGGTTACTGAAGACACATTCTACCCCGGACCTTCACAGGTTACTAAGTAGAGGTGGTGTGTAGCATAAACACGCAGCAAGTGTTTCCATAACATGCAGAAGTAGAAATGTAACTGCCAGGTCGCATGCCTGTGTTGGATGATACACAGTATCAGATTACGTAACAACTGTATTTGATTTCAACCTTGATCATGTTGATAGTATGGTTAGGTTTCACTCTGTCCAGCTTCCCGTGTTCAAGAGCAGGCACAGTGTTCTGTGTCAGTGTTTTGTATCTACCAACAGCGGGCATCACTGAAGAAAGGAAGTATTATTCATTGTAGTAATGTTGATACTGATGTATACATTACTCACTGAGCGGGATCCTGTTTGCCCCAACAGAGGTCGTATTCCTGTCCATGTGGTATTTGTCTGTCTCAGTCCCTGAACCACATTATTTTCCCTACTGCCTAGCCCTCTCTGAAATGCTAAAGCCCTAAATGGAGCAAGTCTAGACTTCTCTAGTCTGTCACACAGTCCCTGAACCACATTATTTTCCCTACTGCCTAGCCCTCTCTGAAATGCTAAAGCCCTAAAAGGAGCAAGTCTAGACTTCTCTAGTCTGTCACACAGTCCCTGAACCACATTATTTTCCCTACTGCCTAGCCCTCTCTGAAATGCTAAAGCCCTAAATGGAGCAAGTCTAGACTTCTCTAGTCTGTCACACAGTCCCTGAACCACATTATTTTGCCTACTGCCTAGCCCTCTCTGAAATGCTAAAGCCCTAAAAGGAGCAAGTCTAGACTTCTCTAGTCTGTCACAGTCCCTGAACCACAATATTTTGCCTACTGCCTAGCCCTCTCTGAAATGCTAAAGCCCTAAATAGAGCAAGTCTAGACATCTCTAGTCTGTCACACAGTCCCTGAACCACATTATTTTCCCTACTGCCTAGCCCTCTCTGAAATGCTAAAGCCCTAAAAGGAGCAAGTCTAGACTTCTCTAGTCTGCCACAAAGTCCCTGAACCACATTATTTTCCCTACTGCCAAGCCCTCCCTGCACTGCTAAGGCCCTGCACTGCTAAATGGAGCAAGTCTAGATATACAGAGGTTCAAGATCTCCAAACTCACTGGGGCTCGTTTTCAATTTAAATGGGTTTATTTGTTACGATCAAAGTTACATATATTCAGAGACTCAGCATTAGACTAATGTGGTGGACAGAAGGTCCGAACAAACCCAAACATTCACATGAATGCACCACTTGAAAAACGATGGATAGCCGTGTGTGAACCACGTGCAGAATGCACAAATCTTGCGACAGTGTACATTGTCACTGAACAAGGCAGGAATTTGTTTGTTTGTTTTTTGATAGAGCAGCCATGCTGTCAGCGACTGTCTCTTATAGTGCCAAATCAGGGCATAATTGTAAGAAGTCAAATAAGGACTTCAATTGGACCATGTGATGGTTTCGGTGGTCACATAAGGACCGTGTCGTGTTATGTCAAATTAGGACATATTGCTGTATATAATGCCGGCAAAATATGTCGTTAGTTCATGTTTCTGTAAGTAAAACTATAATGAACTTTGAACATTGTTATTTTTAAGTCTTCCACTGCTGCGAAACAAGTGGTATATGTAGGGCAGGACTCAACACATCGTGTGTCAATTAGGCCCGGTCAGTTTCTGGATCGTCCTTATATGGCTGAAATTATGCTGATGCAACGTTAAAATTGAACTTAAGCTCTCGTTTGGTGGTGACCTGTGAAGATCCAGGTTAGAATTGGTCTTCAGTAACCCATACTTGTTGTAAGAGGCGACTAACGGGATCGGGTGGTCAGGCTCGCTGACTTGGTTGGTACAGGTCATCATCATGATCATATCCCAATTGCGTAGATCGATGCTCATGCTGATGATCACTGGATTGTCTGGTCCAGGCTCGAATACTTTCAGGCCACTGTCATATAGCTGGAATATTGCTGAGTGCAGCGTTAAACAACAAACCAACCAATCTTTAGTGGTAAATAATGAGGCAGTATTGAGGTGATAATTTCGGTGTTGATTACCATGTTCATTCAGCTGGTCTCCTTTGTGTTATCGTGTCTATTTGTCACGTAGTTTTGTGCGTAGTATGTACAGTGTACTTGGTGTACAGGTGGCTGTTTTGTCTTGGCTCAGTATAACCATTAAACCTTTTTGAGGTTGGTAAAAAAAACATGAAAAAGCCTTTGATGTCCATAATGGGATATGTTTCTGAAATACTTTCATTTCCGTACTTGTGTGTGGTATCAGCTTCCTACAGCATGAAAATGCATGAGAGAGACAAAAACAAAGAGAAAATTCTGAAGTTTATTATTAATTCAAACTGTTCAGTGCAGTGTCCTGTTCCAAAGGCCTATCCTTTTACAGGCTTGGTTAGATTACGTCATACAAGAAACATGATTAATTGATTTCAAGAGAGAGAATGGGTAATGGGGCAGTGTTACGGCAACATCCTGGATAAACTTGGGTCTGCCTCTGAAACCATACTGAATGATTTATCATTACGTTTGTAATCTGTCTTTCTTAACAATTAGTTTGTGGTCATAATATGGTGAAGTTGATGCAATAAGTGTCTTGTTAGGTTTATTACCATGTGTTCAATGTGTCGTGTGGTAAGTGGAATTAAACACCTAAAACTGATGTGTGCTCAAAAATAATTATTGTTGAATTATGTATAACATGTTAACAGACAATGTAAACAGGAAGACTGCTGAGCTGCAGGAGGATGTGTTTGTACTGTTTTTGTATTTTCAAGGAATATCTGCAGCTCTTCAGTGGGTCAGTTGTTATACAGGAATCTAGCATCCTGTACATACCAAATATGAAAATAGACAGGACAAAATCACAGTGTGTCCATATGTATGCAGTAATGCTGCTATTTCATGATTTGGTTAAATTGATCAATTATAAAATACCATGCATAGTTATATGCTTGTGCTAACGCTGTTTCAAATCTATTTTTAACTAATGGACTCTGAGCATGGGCAAGTTGACATCATTTGTGGTAGACTGCTGTATTCATTGTTTTCACATATTTCTTAGAACCTTATTTTGCAAGTTGTGACCCCGTTTTGTTAAACTGGACCACAAATAGATGTATGCTTTCAGTCTCCTTCACACCCCAAATGAATAACCATGAATAACATAGGTAAACCTCTGTTTATTTTGCTGAATCATTGTTAAACTTTTAATTTTTCAGAAAGATGATTATGAACATGATAACTGATTTTATGTCTGTCAACTCTCTTAGATCATTGAATCATTGCTGTCAGGGTTTCACATGGTGATCAGATGCTCAGTAAATTGCGTAGCATGGCATAGCATAGCATAGCATGGCTACGCCATTAGCATTCTCAGGGGTGGAAATAACTTTAAAATTGCTAGTATACTCCGTTACAGTGGCACATGTAAAATTACTTGCCCTGATAATTTTTCAACTATACCGTCCGTTTTCTTCTTGATTTTTGAAATAAACAACATAATTAATATTGGAAAGTCAACTGGACACCGGTACAGTGTGATATACAAATTTGCTTACCCGACAGAAAAAACCACTGGACTCGGGCGTCGGGCAATGGGTTATTTCCACCCCTGAATTCTGTGATTAGCACTGAATAGTATGAGCGAGTTAGTTGGGTTTAACATCGCTTTTAGCGGTAGTTCACCAATATCACAGTAAGGGAACCCAGAAATGGGCCTCATACCCCTGTGAGGACTTGAACCCTGGCTCACAGAAGAGTGCTAACACTTGACTACCCCACTGTGCCAACCACCCCACACTTCAGTGTCTGAATATGGTTTAATGGTTTTATGCCACTTTAAGCAATATTCCACCACAGATTGTACCTGTGTTGGAAATTGAACCCGGGTCTTCAGTGGAAAGAGCAATAATAATACGCACTTCCACCCATACTAGAAGTAGAATAGACAAATCACTGATGATAGGACGGAGGACTGTGTTGCTTTTTCAACACTGAATACAAATCTGTTTGTTTAACCAAACTGTTTCCATACAAAGAGAACCAGGTTAAATGTCGTTGGCAGATCGGCTTACCTAGACATGCACATGAATTATATAACCCCAAGAGGTTATTATGACCAGCTAGTGACAGATGGTTTCACCTTAATTTTCAAAACGTGGTGTCCAGCTACCCCAATGATTAATTTATAAATTATAGGGTCTTAAATATGTATATATTTATGAGGGTCGTGTAAACAAATGTAATGGTGTACACAGGGATCCAGATAATTTTTCAACATCAGGAGTACGTACTCCTTATTTTTGCAATATAGGAGTACTGGAAAACCTTAAGAGTACATTTCGAGTACTGAATGAAATTTAATGCAGTATCAGTAATCTTGTATTTCGTTTCATATATGCACCACAACATTGCTACTCTTGTATAAATGGGGCAATAAACAATAAAATAATACTTTTTCAGATAAATACGTCTGTAAATGATTCTAAGACCGTACACCATTGCTGTGATGCGTATCTGCTACGTTTTCTAAATTATTTCCTACCGTATCATGCATATTTTTTAGCCGTACATACGCCGATACGGCCCTTATCTGGAGCCCTGGTACAGTAATGTAAGATTTGATGATTGCTTCAATGAGAGGATCTTTATGTTTTTTGTAGAAAGCTTGGTACAGTGACTGTTCTTCTTCTTCCATTCTGTACATCATGTATATTCTGTGTCGTGTCAAACCTGTTGTTACTTACTGATGTATGTTCCAGGTGCGTCTTGGTGACTACACTCAGCCCGTGGATGCTACCAACTTTACGTGGGGTCGGAACGACGAATATTGCGAACCCTACGTTGCAGATCAGCTTATCAAAGGTTTGAGACAATTATGATTGAAAGATCCTGTCATCAATGGCTGTAGCAGTGATTACGTTTTAGTAATATGGATATGAAAATGTGCAGTAGTCCTCTCATATTTTAACACAGAAATGTATCCTTATAGGGTACAAATTACCCCTTGATAAAGGCTAGTTGACATGTTTGCTTCAGAAAGATGGATACAATTAGAAGTCTTATTAAATGTTTCATAGACCTAACCAGTGGTCATCTCAAATGGGGACCACTGTGACCATTATTTTAATGCATTAAATGATATTCTTTGTACATCTTCAGAGGCAGCTAAAAAGAGACAGTCAGACAACAAAGTGTCAGACAACATGGACGTCAATTCAGAAAGTACAGATTATAATCGAATCAACAGAAAGATGGCTGTAAAAACACCCAGAGAAAGTGGTCAGACCAACCCCAACTCATCGTCTGCTGTTGGCGGCGATGGTTATGACCATGCCACTAGCTGGACAAGTATTGCAAAGAGTTCCGATTCGAGCCATGATACATATGAAGAACCGTGGGATTCACGCACAAGACAGAGAGATTTACAAAGTAAGCTGAATAGAGCTCAAAGTGAAGAAATTCCAAAACAGCTTCCATATCCTGACTCGAGACGAATGTCTCAAGATCCACCAGCCATGCGACGTAAACCACAACCATCGGACATGTACGAAGATGCATGGGACTCTCCGTTTAAGCAAAAACTTTTAGAGGAGAAGTTGAATGCTGCTAAGAGAGGTGGCGGGGCTGCTTCAAGGTCCCCTACTTCCCCCCTCCCCTCTTCCCTGCCCTCCACCTACGAGGAACCATGGGATATCAAGAAGAGACAGATGGAACTGGAGGGGAGGTTAGAAGCAACTCACATCCACAAATCCCCCATTGGAACCCCCATTAGTCCCTCGCGCCGTAGTCCCCAGCCCCGCAGTCCACAGCCCCGTAGTCCACAGCCCCGTCCCGGACTGGATACTTACGAAGAGGCCTGGGACCTCAAGACAGGGGCCAAGGCAGTCAGCTTTCTCAGAAGCAGTGAGTCATAGAGATTATTGACCATAATATTGCACAATTACGTGTTGTTATGATCATATGTTAGGATTGTTTGTTTGTTGTTTAACGCCACACTCCGCAATATTCCAGCTATATAGCGGCAGTCTGTAAATAATTGAGTCTGGACCAGACAATCTAGTGATCAACTGCATGAGCATCGATCTACGCAGTTGGGATATGATGAAATGTCTCACCAAGTCAGCGAGCATGACCACCCGATCCCGTTAGTTGACTCTAAGGGTTTGATTCCCTGTAAGGATAAAATGTGTGAAGCCCATTTCTGGTGTCCCCCGCCATGATATTGCTGGAATATTTCTAAAAGTGGCCTAAAACTAAACTAACTCGCTAAATCAACAATGCAAATCTTCTTTGTTGATTTGCCTTTTCTTTTAAAAACAAAACAAAGCCTTTTCTCTATTGAACAGAATTTAATTATTTTTTTAATCCGAAAACAGTTTGGTTGTCAAAGTGTTAACAAAAGGACCGATAGGCTTATGGTTAGGTTGCTCATGTGTAACAGGCATTGTTCAGAGATGTCATGTCCCTGTTGAAACCTGTTGTACAATGACTGAAGTGTATTGTTTCAGATTCCCAGCAAGACCGAGACCTGGCTCCCAGCTCCCCCCAGTCTCCTAACTCTGGCTCCCCAACCTACAAGCAGGTGCCCCGTATCACCATCCCAGCCACAGCCTGCACCATAGGGGAGAGAATCAACCCCATCATTCCCTTACAAAAGCAGAGGTAAGATGACAGTCACGCTTCACAGTAAACATGCGAAAGGCAAAAAGGATGCATAGATATCATTGTCATTCAAGTCCATTTGCAGGGCATATTGTTTTAATGCTGGGAATCTCAAATATTTTTTTAATATTTGTGTTATTATTTGGTGTTGGGTAATATAAGTTGTATGCTTCTATCGAGGGTAACACAGTCTGATGTACGCCTCTGTGTAGTAGTGTCACCCGAGCCGGTAGTTTCCCTACACTCTTGCCCTCCCTGCAATGCTAAAGCCCTAAATTAAGCAAGTCTAGTTTTCACAGGTTCTGGTCTCCCTGGGGCTCCTTTTCAATTTAAATGGGTTTATTTGTGTCAGTCAAAATTATATATATTCAGAGACCAAGCATTAACCTAGACCCCAGATACTTGATGCAGAATTTGATTCACTGCTGCAGAGTTCAAACCTCAACTTTACCCTTGGCATCAGTTTTCGCCTGTTAGCTCCAAACTCATGGGGGCGGTGGTGTAGCTTAATGGTTCAAGCGTCCGCTCGACATGCTGAAGACCCGGGTTCGTTCCCCACATGGGTGCAATGTGTGAAGCAATGTCCCCCGCCGTGATATTGCTGGAATATTGCTAAAAGCGGCGTAAAACCATACTCACTCACTCACTCTCACTCACTCACTCACTCACTCACTCACTCACTCACTCACTCACTCACCCACCCACCCACCCACTCACTCACTCACCCACCCACCCACCCACCCACCCACTCACTCACTCACTCTCACTCACTCCAAACGTATGCTATTGGTGTTTTTCATCCAGCTGTAAAACCATACTCTCACTCACTCACTCACTCACTCACTCACTCACTCACTCACTCACTCACTCACTCACTCACTCACTCACTCACTCACTCACTCACTCACTCACTCCCTCACTCACTCACTCACTCACTCACTCTCACTCACTCCAAACTTATGCTATTGGTGTTTTTCATCCAGCATCCAGAACCTAACATGCGATGATGTAACTGATGTCCCGTTTAAATGGCATCAAGACCAGCTCCCTCATATCCTTGTGTTACTGAGTTGTGCATGTGTGGTAGGAGACCAAATATAAATTATAGCAGGATCCTATTAGATTAGTTTATTTTGATCATGCGAAAGCAGCCTTTTTCTATTGACAGTTACATGCTCAGTATATTATAAAAGGATCTCCAAAGGAAGTAGATGCTGACCATTTGTTATTAGTGAGTTTTAGTATGACCTCTGTCTGTTGTCAGCTGGTACCAAGGTCGTATTTCCCGAGCTGATGCTGAGAACACGTTGCGTGTCTGCAAGGAGGGGAGCTACCTGGTGCGAGAGTCCGAGTCCGAGAGGGGCCAGTACTCTCTCTCCATCAAGTACGTAACACACATTGTACTGTCACAAGGGCAGTACAGAAACACCATTGATTTAATACCAGGGTTTTACATAGCTCTTGAAACTGGGGAGTCCTGGGGAGTCCATTTCCAAAATTGGGGGTCCATCAATTTGCATTAAATAAATGATAATGAATGCTTCCCATTTTATAATGATTATGTTAAGATATGTGTTACTTTCAAATGTCATTAGAATAATGATTGTAAATAGAATGTTTATATTTTAATATGGGATATCATTACAAACTCAGAAAGTTCTTTCCCAGAAAAAAATTATATTGAGTCCACAAGGACGCCCAGGATTTTAGTTTGGGGGTACTTCACCAAATTTCTGCGTCCAATACGCAGGAATCTTGCGTCCGGTAAAACCCTGGAATACAATTTTCTAAGAAGCCTAACTTCATTTGACTACAGAGAACAGGTAGTTTTGCCATGGCTCCCTCTCTCACATTTTCGACCCAACTCTTCAGATGTTTAATGGCTGCCCAGGTTGGGTATGATATATGTTTGGGTATTCGACATAGTAAATTTGGCAGATAGTTTTGCCAGGGCCCCCTCTCTGACATTTTCGATTCAACTCTTCAGACGTTTAATGGCTGCCCAGGTTGGGTAGGATATATATTTGGGTAGTCGCATAGTAAATTTAATTCTATCCATAGTAACCGCACTATAACAAACAAATGACTGTCCAGGTAGGGTAGGGTATATATTTGGGTATTCACATAGTAAATTTAATTCTATCCATAGTAACCGCTATAACAAACAAATGACTGTCCAGGTAGGGTAGGGTATATATTTGGGTATTCACATAGTAAATTTAATTCTATCCATAGTAACCGCTATAACAAACAAATGACTGTCCAGGTAGGGTAGGGTATATATTTGGGTATTCACATAGTAAATTTGAACTCTATCCATAGTAACCACTATTACAAACAAATGACAGAATGGTCAGGTCTAACTGTAGACTATTTTAGTCCATTTATCTCATGTATCTTTATTTTAAGCATTTCATTAGAAGACAAATGGAAGTAGTGTATACATGACCACGTTTTGTATTGTATGTAAGCTGGTTTAGAATGTTCATCTGTTGTTTAACATTAGAATTGCATTCATTTCAGGAGCCGTTTAATGAATATCCACCTGAGGATTACCAAGCGTTCAAACGGGCAGTTTATTCTTGGGGAAAACAGTGCATTATTTGATACGATCCCAGAAATGATTGATTATTACACCCAGCACCAGGTCCCACTCAAGGGGACACAGCATCTCACGCTTCTGCACCCTGTGGAGCTTCACTAACATGTGAGGCTACACTGAGGTGTGAGGCTGGACTAAGGTGTGAGGCTGGACTATGGTGTGACACTGGACTAAGGTGTGACTATGATGTGGAGCTAGATTGAGATGCCAAGCACCTGTAAGGGACAGAGGATGTCACGCTTATGCCACCTGTGGAGATCCACCATATGTGGAGACCTTGAAAGGTTACAGAGGGACAGAGCACCTCAGGTTTTGCACCCACTGAGCTCCACCATATGTGGAGACCTTGAAAGGTTACAGAGGGACAGAGCACCTCAGGTTTGGCACCCTTGAAGCTCCACTAAAGTGCTGAGCCAGGCTACACCTTAGTTACAATGTTCACAGCGTTGACAGGATGTGTGATGAGAGAACACGGACTACAGTGATCGATGTGAATGTGCTGGAGAGATTGAAACTATTAGAGATCTGAGAATAGCTGACACCTGATTTCCATCTGATAATGACATCGGATGTAAAATTATAGACACAGTGGTATAGTCTTAATATGATACAAACTGTGATAAAGTTGAAGCAAGATGACACACTGATTAATACTTTTGAAGAAAGATTACAGTGTGATTAAAACTACTGAAGAAAGGTGACGTGATGAAGACTATTATAGAAAGATGACACTTTGACTAAAAGTATTGAAGAAAAATGACAATGTGAAGAAACTATTAAAGAAAGATGACAGTGTGGAAAAGAAAATTGAAGAAAGATAACAGATGTTGAAGGAAGATGATACAGTGTTGAAAGATAATATAGCATAATCATAATATTACGACGAATAGTGTTGAGAACATCGAGATATCTTGTTTAGAATCGACTTCCTAGATGGCATGAGAATTTGAAAAAAAAAGTTTGCAATTAATGTGTTTCTCTGTTATTATGAAACCGTGCTTATCCTGTAACACTCACTGTCGTAGAGACACTGCTTGAATAAGTTAATATGTGCACGTCTCATAACACTGTTCTTAAATCATGTATACTCAACAAAAATAGTTAGGGATAATGCATATTTATGGTACAATTATTTGTTGTGTAGACTGTCATAAGAATGACCCCCAAACTGTTGATGGTCCTCAAACTATTTTTTTGCCCAGTATAGATAGCACATTTGACTGTAGATGAAACTTTCATGGGAACTGTCAAATCTGTCCTTTGAATTCTACACTTGTTTTCTTTAATTGTTGTTAAGCAGTATTACAGACCATGGCATTCAGTTTCCTTAGAGTACCAGAAAATATGCTAACTTGTTTACATATCATTAGCTTGTTGAAATGTAAGTAGTTATTTTTGTTATTGCACACCAGATATTACAGAATTTGGCTACGCTTAGGAACCGGTCATTATTTTTCTTAGCAAGTAACTCAACAAAATATGTTGGTTATTGCTCTCCAGAACCAACAGCCATGGTGAGCTATTATAGAATTTGGCTTCGGGACCAGTCATGTGTGGCAAGAGACTGGGAGGGTGGGGGTATGAGGGTTTTGACAAACAGAAAATATTGACCCTCTCATATTTGTCAATGATCATCCCCATGTCATGTACATTTGTGACCTTCCTTAAAAAGAAAAAAAACAACATTTTTCTTTGAGGGCAAAGTTGTTGATTGGCCCACACAAAATTAGGGTTGGGTATTACCAAAATTTTCATATTGCGATATATATTGTGGCATGTGTCAGCGTATTGCAATATGTATTCCAATGTATTGTGAATGTGTAACAGATGGTTGAAGGTGATGAAATTATTGTTTCCTTACGATGCCACTGGCCACTGTCAGGACTCAGATGTGATTGTACAAGAGATCAATTGAAAATGTTTCCAAATAGAAGACTTCGCTCTAAAGTTTTGAACTGGAGAAAAAACGTCTGCAGTGGCATCCGCCATTTTGGTTTCTTTATCAATACAATGAGTACAATTTATTTATTTATATGGTTTAAAAGTCATGCAAATGCAATTATATGACCACTAAACATTCTCCAAACTGTTAATGTATAATAATATAAATGAAATACATGTTATTAGTATTTTTGACTACATCATGAAAATTACCGATCATGGTCACGGAAACTGCCAATCGTATCGGGTGAACCGGTTCACGAAAAGTACCGCAATATATCGTATTGGGCAGTTTGAATTGCAATATACTGGTTAACCAGTATTATCGCCCACCCCTACACAAAATATGGCAATACAGTATAGGTACTAAGGTTGCAATGTTTCATGCCAAGTCCCTTGATTCAGTAGCTAAGCCTTCAGCCGACGTTTCATCAGCAACGGAAGAGTTGTTTGTTTTACCTTCACTCAATGTGATGTTGTATAATTGGGTGTGCAATACCTCATAATTGAGGTGTATTGACAAAGCAATCCTGAGATTATCATTAGATCATAGGTGTTCGGATGTCACACATTTTCAGACAGCATTGTTTACTCACACTATAATTAGGGAATACCTCATAATTGAGGTGTATTGACAAAGCAATCCTGAGATTATCATTAGATCATAGGTGTTCGGACATCACACATTTAGACAGCATCGTCAAACAGCATTGTTTACTCACACTATAAAGGGGGATGTTGTGTCACACAGACATTGTAAAATATTTGTGTTTGAGATATTATATAGGAGACGTTTTACAGTTGTTCATATCAATAGCAAGATAACAACGAGTGTTTCTTCAGCATCCGAAAACCAATGATATCCACTACTTAGTGCATCTGTATGATGTCCATGCCAATAAACATTCTTTGGTGAAAAACAGTTCAGGTTCAAGCCTAAAAATTGATGTATGTGATATTTATTACCAATACCTTGTTTGAGAGTTAGCTAGCTTGCTTTAGAAATATTCTTCTACCTGCACTTGTCTTGCTACTGATTCACTTGTAAAGGTTTACAATTGTACATTTTGAAAAAAATATAATCATAATATATTTCCTGACAACTGTCTATTGATTAATGTAAATTCCTATCTCATCTGATAGTGTCCATTTCAGGCTTGGTACGTCCTCTCTATTTGCAATGTCCACTAATGTGTTTAACTTTCACAAGTATATCTCCTGTCTCAAGCAATGTTTGAATTTGTGAATTTAGATCAGGAATGTAGCAATGAATGATTGATGTTGATATCTGAGAGCTTCAACAATAAATATATGTAAAATATCGAGAAGGGCAGAGGGGTAGCCTAGTGGTTAAAGCTTTTGCTCGTCACACCGAAGACCTGGGTTCAATTCCCCATATGGGTACAATGTGTGAAGCCCTTTTCTGGTGTTCCCCGCTGTAATATTGCTGGAATATTACTAAGAGCGGCGTAAAACTAAACTTTTAAATAACAAGAATACATTGGATTTTATGTATTGAGATACAGTGGCAATACAATTTTCGCAAGTCTTCCAAATTGAAACCCAATGTTACGGCTGTAGCAAACTGTATGTTACCATAGTTACTGTCTGTGTAACGATGCCTTTAACCATGTTGTATGAGCCGGCAATATTTTTCATCTCGGCCTCAAAATCATCGGACTACCAGAAATGGACATGCAATAGTGGAGAGGAAGTGGTTATAATGCTTAAATATTTTACTTAAACTGTACCATTTATACTATACTAACATGTACATGTGTGATGACCCTTGCCTTGCTTCTATGTGGTACTACTGTGTGTTAAGTGTAATGGGACTTCCACTGCTGCAGTTATTTAAACACATTCCAATGTATGGCTGTTGTGGGGTAATTGCTTCAAGGGAGACAACTCTCTTATGCATGAATGTTAACTGGTGTACATTTGTGTATTGTCATGGGTTTTTTCCATACACTAGTGCTTTTAAGCTGAAATATATTTAATATTTTGAAACATGAGTTCAGCTGTTTTATCTAACAGTTATTACCGAATTTATCATTGCAATGATGTTCATTTTTAGAGTCATTATCATCATAATGTCGTTTTTATAATATCAACCTAAAAACTATGGCTGTTTATTACAGAATATTTGTGCTGAAAATCAAACTTGAGTATGTTGCCACGATAGCGAACATTATATGATGATGTTACATGAAAAATATTATATTTGAATATGACAATATTTGTGCATGTTTTATGGAGTTGTTCAAGAAGATATTCAATGGTGCTTTTACACTGTTACGGAGTAAATATGATGCTGTCATACCAATCCAAAGTATGTTCTCTGTGAGCTTCAGTCCTGTGTATATGGTGCACGTCCCTTGTAGGACCGAAACATCTAGAACATGGATTTTCATGCCTTATATGTGTTTAATGACCAAATACTATATTTATCTGAATGATACGGAAACTTGTTATTTTATGTGAATAAATGGAACTATTTTCAGTCTGCTTCATTTATTCTGTAATATTCAGACTAAATCAGGTAGAAAATACATGATAGATTTGATAGCAGAATATGTTTATCTCGATTTTGTGACCTGAAAAAGTTTAAATAAACTTAAAATCTTAAAATAAGAACAAAAATTCAGGTCATGTGATGAGATGAACCTTATTTGACAGGAGATGATGATATTGTCTGGAAGTATGATGTACAGATATGTTATTTTGATGGTCTTGCATGTTTATATAGTACTCAAAGTAAAGGTATATAATTTGCTGCCTTTCTGTGTGTATGTATTCGGTAGTTGAGCACAAGGACAAGTTCTTTGCATGCATGATGAAGCAGGAACGACATTATCAAATATGAAAATTCAAAATAATTTATGAATCAAGCAGTATTTTCATAGGCATTACTTTTACACAGGCAGATCTTTTTTAAACAGGAGAGGGGGGTATATCATGTCTTAGGGTAGTCTAGTTGTTGAAGTGTTTGCTTAACACTCCGTGGACTAAGTTTAATTCTCCCGTGGGGAGGATGTGTAAAACTCATAATTGGATTCCTTCACCATGAGTTTACTTGAATATTGCTGTGAGCCAATTCACACTACACTTAGAGTGCATATCACTTTATGTCACCATTTGACAATGATGCTCCTTCTAAATGGGCGACACACATACTTGTGAGTACTTGAAAAGTGCTGGAAATGTTTGGTGTTAGGGTTTCTCGAAAATCTTCTAGATCTGATACGGGAGAGAATGTATGACAACCATTTCACATATCTGAGAATATGAAGCAGCTTGATTTGTTTTCCACCAAACTGGACATTTATTTAGTTCTAAGAATATTGTCATTACTGCCTAGCAGGTAGGGAAGTTTGTTAAACAGACAAAAACTTCTGCCATTGTTGAGTTATTCTCTTGTGCATAATGAGGGGGCAGATGACTGAAGTCATCACATACACCGAAGTACAATGTACAGAGGTTGCTTTCCTTTGGCTTGCCAGAAACCTACAATCATTATCACAGTCCCATTTTTCCATGGTTTCAGGTTTGTAAGCCCCATAGCCAAGATGTTGGGTTTCACAAGAGTGAGTGAGTGAGTTTAACTTTATGCTGCACTCATCAATATTCCAGCTATATGGCAGGGTCTGTAAATAATCATACAGAGTTACATCCCTTTGGCACACCAGGATGGTGGGTTCGAATCTCAGTTAACCCCAGTTATGTGTCTAGGTTAGTCAGCACCATTCCTGTGGCTTTCACCAAAGTGGTAAATATTCGAGACCTTCAGCCCTACGAGATTTCCTCCCACCTAACTCTGACATACCTTGACATAACTGGAGACTTGTGAAGATCTGGCTTAGAATTAGAACCCATGCTTGTCAAAAGAGGCGACTAAGGAGTTCGGGTGGTCAGGCTTGCTGACATCATTAATGAATGTCAGTTACGTAGATTGAAGCTCACGTTAATCATTGGATTGTCTGGTCCAGACTCGATTATTTACAGACCGTAGCCGTCTAGCTGGAATATTGCTGAGTCTGGCATTTAACAAGCAAAACAAATGATGTAACTAGAATACTGTTTATATCAGCATTGAACCTCACTCACTCACTCTGACAAGAACCCTAACTGAAGAATAACTGTTAAATTAATAAGTTGTAGATGAGAGCACAGTCATTAAACAATGCTATTTTAGAAAGTGGTCAAATGTAACATATGTTATGCTTGGGATTACACTTTCTTTGTAAAGTACAGATTATAGTACTGTTTGGGTTCGAATCCCGAATGGCACCAACCCCAAAAGTACTAGAATCTGTACTTTACTGAGAAAGTATAATCCCAAGCATAACATATGTTATGAGAGAACAGTCATGATATTAGGTTATGTTTTGCAGAGAACTCATTTGTCATGTTTATTTCAATCTTCTTCTCATCCTTGGTTGCTTTTATTTTATTCTTCTGTTCTTTTAGAGCTATTGCTTGTTACATGTGCTTATGTACGTAACTTTTAACCATATTCTCAATGTGTCAAAATGGTTATAAACTTTGTCTTCCTTCTTAAGACTGTTATTGTTTATATGAAATAAATCATATCTCAAATATTACATTTTTCTGTTGTACTCTCAAGGATGGACATGGCAGTATTTAGCAAAATCATTCATGTAAAACAGGCCTGATTTCAGGATTTATCAAGTTGTGATTAGTCTTTTTTCATTGGAGGGGCGTTTGGGTAGCCTAGTGGTTAAACCATTCACTCGTCACACTGAAGACCCAGGTTCCATTCCCCACATGAGCATAATGTGTGAAACCCATTTCTGGTCTTCCCCGCCGTGATATTGCTGGAATATTGCTAAATGTGGCGTTAAACTAAACTGACTCACTCCCTCCCTTTTTCATTGGATAATGTGAGTAGATTCTTGACATATTCCAGAATCTATTCAAAATGACATCCTAGCTAAGGTCATGTTGCCATGGTTTCAATCGTTTAAACTGTAGATGTATTTATTCCCACTTTAGATACAATATACTGAACCTTCAGATTGTCAATCTTTTGTCAATATCACTGACCCTACTACTTTAGGAAGTGGCATCTCACAACTGTTGAGGAATGACCCTACTACTTTAGGAAGTAGCATCTCACAACTGTTGAGGAATGACGTAAGTATTAATGCCTGCTGCTGTTACTTTTGTCAGATGTGACAGGTTAATATAAAGTTAAATATAAACTGTAAATAGAAGTAAACTCATGGAGGTAACTGGATGATTTTGCCTATAAATAATAATAATTAGTGAATTTATAAAGAGCTAAAATACTCCAGGCACTAAGTGTCTGCTCTAAACGCTATGATGAGTATATACATGGTATTTGAAATGAGTAGGAACACAGAAATCTAGCAGTGATAGTATTTTCGGAACAGGAATGTCTTTAAATGAGATTTGAAGTTGTTTAGGGTTGGTGACAGTCTGATATCATGGGGAATAGAGTTCCAGAGAGAAGGAGCAGCATAGATGAAAGAGAGGTAGCCAAATGACTTCAGATGACGTTTTGGTATCTCCAGAAGATCAAGATTTCCTATGTCGCCTATGTCGAAATTCACCTCAAAATCTGTGACTTGATTGTATCCTTGTGTATTCGGTTTTCGGTCATGTAAGGTTTGTCGACCAACGTAACATAAAATGCATGAATAAATCGATAATAAACAAACCTACCTCGATTGTTTGTTATTTATTTATGATATTCAAATATCTGACGGATTAACCTCGTGTTTCACCCGCAAAGCAGGCCTCATAGTTCGCTACACAAAGATCCTGAATGCGGAAGTGACGTCATCTGTTTTCGTTCACTTCATTGGTTCTCAACTCAACTCTTGTGTTGTAGACTTAAAACCAAGTAACTAACAATATACAATATACGGCATTACATATGTAGATAGAAATTAAAAATATTGAATAGATAAAGTAACAAGCAAAGATGTAAAGTGTTTAATATATCTCAAAATATAAAATTCCTGTGTCAGGAATCTAGTCACAATATGTTAGCTACATTTCCACGTAATGGTTTTTTGAATATGCTCATAGACAAACAACAAAATGGTGACAAGGATTATGATAATTTATAAACATGCTACTACATAGAATGTACCAGTCTACTTTAATAAATACAACAAATATATATAATGGACAACAAAAATAGATCAAAACAAACTGAGGTGATTAATATGTTTGCATTTTGTTGATTTTACGCCTTCAAATATGCTCTAGGTAAATGTACTTCTGTCTAAACTCATCTAAGAACATGTGGAAAGTTCAAGTCTCCTAAATATGAATTTTGACTCCTAAAATACAGGACAACATGTACAAAAATACATCTGGTGTTTCTTCTGAGTCAAGTAACCTGTTTCCTGCAAGGTATAATATAGGGGACCTTTTTCATTCTCTGTAGGGGCCCCATCGTGATATTGCTGGAATATTGCTTAAAGCAGCGTAAAACAATACTCACTCACTCTGTAGGGGCAGTGATGTAGCCTAGTTAAAGCATTCGGAAGGCCAGGGTTCGATTTCCCACATGGGTCCAATATGTGAATCCCATTTCTGGTGTACCCCATCGTGATATTGCTGGAATATTGCTAAAAGTGGCGTAAAACCCAACTCAGTCAGTCATCCTCTGTAATATGAGTGGCCTGTAAGTTATCTGAAGCACCACATTTCCTGTCCCATATATAATCGCCACTCCCCACAGCCAGACAAAAAAATTGGACACAAGGAGTGGTCATTTATTATGTAGAATGGGTCAGTCAGGCATTTCCTGAAATGCATCCCCAAGGTATGTTATTTGGGGAACATCTGAAAATGCTGCCCTATTGTCCTCCCTTTGATACAAATGGATGTGTTAACTTTTGATGTAGTCTGTCTCACAGTCCCTGAACCACATTATTTTCCCTACTGCCTAGCCCTCCCAGCAATGCTTTAGCCCTATATGAAGCAAGTCTAGATTTCCCCTGGTGCAGGAATATCCAAACTCACTGGGGCTCCTTTCAATTTAAATGGGTTTATTCGTTACTATCAAAAATATATATATTCGGGACTAAGCGTTAGTCTAGCTTTTGATGCATCACATGATGTTGATCAAGTTTGTGTTGATCATATGATAGCCTGACCCAGCCAGCGTTTTTCTCCACTGCTCCAGGAACAGCTGGTGTTTTACATCCTCTTCCTGATAGGATACTTAGAACTACTTGTACATGGGATCAGTATGTTTCATTCAAGAACTGACGTATACTTCTTATCAAACCACTAACACATGTCTCATCAGTATGATGACTTGTGATTCAAACATTATTTGACAGTTTTGTAACAGGAAAACAAACTGTAACAGACGGAGGAGATATATCATTGGCAGCCTTTCTTCCATCCTTCTCCATTGTAAATAGAAGTGAGTGAGTGAGTCAGTATGGTTTAAGCCGCTTTCAGCAATATTCCAGCAATATCATGGTGGGGACACCAGAAATGGGCCTCACACATTGTACCCATGTGGGGAATCGAACCCAGGTCTTCAGCGTGACGAGCGGACACTGTAACCCTTGTAAATAGTAATAGCCAGTAACTGCTTTGAGTGGCAATATAGACAAACTTAATGGATAACAACTTCTTCATTTCGTGGGTGCAATGTTTCGATACAGACTCTTTAATACCGATGTCAAGCAGGAATTTCTATACAGATTCTTGTACCATTGAACAAATGATAATGGTACAAGAATCTGAATGGAAATGTCACACCCACAAAATAAAGAAGTTGTTATCCATAAAGTTTGTCTATATTGTAATAGCCAGTGTTTTGAGTGTAACAAGTACAGCTCAACAGGTTCAGTGGCATAGAGATTTGTGATGTCAACTGATTGTGACATCATGGTAACCAGTGATGTCACAATCATCAGCCAAGTGTTTGGAAGCAATTTCTCCTTGGAGAAATCACATGACTTCAAACAATCATCATATCCTAAAGAAGCCATTTGTTTGCAAAAAGTGATAATCATGGAAATATTCTTTCATTTCTTTCAATATTTCTTTTCTTTATAACTGAAAACATTAAGAAAAAGTACTAAAAACATACTTTTAAGTAAATCATGCATCCATGCTTCTCAAAAAGGACAACATATTAACTCAGACATCTTCCACAGACAACATCACTCAACTGAATATTGGTCACAGGTTAGGTCTTGAATTGAGTGAGTTAGTGAGTTTAGTTTTACGCCGCTTTTAGCAACATATCACAGCGGGGGACACCAGAAATGGGCTTCATACATTGTACCCAAATGGGGAATCTAACCTGGATCTTTAGCGTGATGAGGGAACGCTTCAACTACTAGGCTACCCCATCACCCGCCTTGAATTGGAGCCATGCTTAATGTACATCACAACATTACTTAGCACGGTTTGTAGACGTGTCAGAACAGATGTCAGCTAATGACAATATTATAATACATCCAGTTGATGATCAATATCTGTACAGATTTTACTACCATCACAAAAAGATGTCCACTTTAAAGAGCCCCAGACTGAAATATCACAATCTGTCTGTGAGACAATTTTCTATTAAGTTTCCACAAATATTATTGTGGAGCATTTATACACAGAGGACACCGTAAGCAAACCACGGCCATTTTTTTATGTCACACAGAAACCTTGCAGTGTATGAAATAAGGCCCATCCGACCGCCCCAGATGGGCTAGATTTCTGACGGACGGGCTAAATTCACAGCTAGCCAGCCCGATGGTCTGGTAAACAATTTAGATAACATGTTCCATACATCTGAGTAAATTCACTGTATCTTAAAATCTATTTTTCAATTTGAACTTTGCATTTAGACTTGACAATTACTGTTTGAACATTGAACTATCGTATCGCAAGCTCAAAGCACTGCCTTGACATATATCATCCTTAAAACAGATGTCTAAACAATAACTTAAAATTGAGTTATTCTCTTTGGATTGTCTGGTCTGGCTAAATCCATTTTGGGCTGGTAACATTTTGAAGTTACCAGCCCTGATGTCTGGCTGGGCTTTTGACTTATTTCATACACTGAACCTTGACTTGCAGACCATGCAGCTTAAAAACTAAACCTGGTTATGTGGTACATTGTACATGTACTTCAATGTTGAAGGCTGTAAACATATGAAAATGGCAGTATGCAAAATAATACAATTTAATAAAATGTAACAGTTTAATAAACACAAAGAGATCTAATATGTATTGAACCAATATATATGTACTATAAAGTTTCCTACTACGAAAAAGGTATATATCAAGAAGCTGAGTTTAGAATACATTCTAGTAGTAGTCTTAGTAGCTTTAGTAGTATAAATAATAACAATGATTTACTAAAATTAAAGCAATTAATTCAGTAACATTATTAACAATACATTGAAAATTGAGTCTCCTTGTCAAAGCCCTCTATATTCAATGACCATGTTGATCAGTTGTACCATTGTCATGATGAAGATAAAAACTGCACAGTTATATACTGAAGGAGAGAAGAAAGGCAACATTTGTAACATGATGATTGTGCTTTTGTATCTGCTCCATTTAGCAGTGGTCCATCAACTCATATATTTTCTTAATAAAAACAATATACAATGTTAATCCATTAAATGTGATTGTAATTGACTAGATATACAATTGTATATGTACTAGCAATATTTCTGTATTTACATTTCTTTAAACTGCAAAACCTCTTGCCTTGCCCACTAACGGACAAGTTTCCTATTAGTGCACTGAAGGAACTCATCCATTTTGTATTTCTGTCGTAATTGTTTCAGGTGATAATGACAAAACATACCGTCTGCAAAGTTATTATTGAAATATTGATTCAAAAGAATTTGCAATAGTTTTTTAGGTTTTAACAGAAAACTTGTGTGAACAGTGTCAATCCACAAACCAAAACAAAAAATGCAACAAATCTTTAGCCAGTTCTCTTCCTCTATATGTTCCCCTATTTCTATCCATCAGTATATATAACTTGTATTGTCGTTCACTCCAATGCGACTCCAATGCTGCTGCCTTATTACCCCTGGGTGTTATGAGATGACAATCTGACAATGACAGCAAAAGCTGTTGTAAAACGTATAAATAACAAACATAAACATACATATCATTATACAAAATATATCTGAGTATAAAAGGAGGGATCTCTGTCTATTATCTCTGTGTATCCTGGTTTTATTACCCTTGTGCAATACATATCATATTTACCTCATATAAACTATGCATGACATAAAACATGAGGACACAATTACATTGGATATAATCTTTTACCATCAACCAGCTCTACAAATATTAAAACAGTGGATTATTATAGTAATCTGTTAGAAAAAGACTTTCTACACTGACTTGTGTCAGTGGTTTCAACTCAGGGTGTGACACCACAAAGACATATTTGGCATACAATTGTTGTATGTCAAAGTACAGGGGTTATGACTATCTTGGCACTCTGACTGTACTTAGGACAATGCATCTGACACATTGTACTTGGATTTAAATTTATCTCTTCATCTTGTGCATTGGTCCAGTTAGTTTCTTCTTCTGCACTTAAACTATGACATATGCATCTATTTTTACATACAAATGTACGTCCTTTATAGTACTATCCTTCATTCTCTAACAAGGCAATGTGAAGTTTTCAATCAAAAGTACCATGGTTTTAAACCTTTGTAAAATAGTTTGCAATTACTCTGCATTATCTTTTCATCCAGTGAAACAACCATCATTTTTAAAAATATTGTTGTCATGTATTTTCAAATTTATTTTTCCCTCACTAAACAACCATCTAAAATCATGTTAAACTTTGATTACAACAGTTTCAGAATAACCTTTATCCAGTGAAACAACTTTGATTAAACACTGTATGCAAACATTGTTAATTTAGTCCTTCTTCCGGTGAGAATCAGCAGTGACTGGTTCAGCTGTGTTGACAGTATAGGTTTCCCCAAACAGGTTAGGTCTTCTCATGCACCGCCAAGCAAACAGGTGAGGGCCAATCAGAAGTGCCAGATTCACACCCCAGAAGATGGCGCCACTGCTTCCTTCCATGGCCGCATGGTAACACTCAGCTGTGCGGTGGTGCAGTGATGCAGTGATGTGCACAAATTGAGCCTGGTGAGAAAATGGTTACCTTGTCATTAGGATGGAGAATGTGCAAGCATATGAACAACAGCCTAAGATAACACATGGGCAGCTCTCTTGTTCTAAAACTACAGTTCACAGGATTCTCCATCCTTTGCCTTTCATGAAATCTCATATATTTACAATACAATAGCCATTCTTAAAAACTGCTTTCCATTATTACTTAAACACACACACATTTGTCTTTGTTTCTAAAGTGACTGGCTGACACTGAATTACAGAAAGAAATTAAATTATCTAATGACATTTTTGATGAAGGTAAAACAAAAAGCAGGGTACTACCTGAGCTGCTGCACCTGCATGTATGAGGGCCATGTCTGCCATCCAGGACTGGGCTGGACAGGTGAGGCCATAGATTGCAGTCAGGTAGTAGAACAGGTAGTAATACAGGTACACCAGCATCTGGAACAGTCAGGCAGCACAGGTGATGCTAATCAGCACTATGACTGTTGTGAGTGCATGTTTCAATATCAGTCATGAATTTTCAATCCATCAAATCAGCTTTGATCTTATTTACACTTTATTTTAACTTTGTTTTGTGTAGTGTTAGTGTCACTCAGTGTTTGCCATGATGCAGAAAACTATTTGACGCACAAATTATCTCAAATATGCAGTGAATTTAGAAGCTTACTGGGCCCTTTGTTCTGATAATCTAAACATTGTTATGAGAGTTTGTTTTTTGTAATTTGTATTATCATTGATTAAGTGATAGTTATTGTTGGTCACAATGTTTAAAGTTTTGAGTGTGGGCAATAGTATTTTTAGAGGTACGCCTTTTTGTTAGCGCCTCAGAGTTGCCTCCCTTGGCATCTTGTTGACTTCATGCCATGGAGTGTTCCACCGATTTCGAAAACATTCTGAGTGGATAATGTTCTATTTTGCTGGTTCAAAGGGGACTTTTAAACCTTTTGTCATGGCAATTTATTAACCGTAACAACTTCTAAAACTAAATGTTTGCCTGTTAACTGCTCAGTGCTGATTAAATACCTGACCTGCCTTACCTTTTTTTGTCGTTACTAAACAATCACAGTTAATGTCTTGATGAAAGCTCTAAACTGATGTTGACTCCCAAAAACATTTCCATGACTCCCTCTCATGACACCAGGGAGTCATGGTGACTCCTGAATTTTTATGCCTAGGGCAAACACTGTGAATATGTTTGTTTATTCAAAATGTATAGTTGACAACAGCAAATAACTCATTTTTCTTATTTGCAAGAAGCACTAATTCCTTTGCTTCTCCACAAAATGAAAGGATATTGTTTTACGGCTCCATCTGCATGATGATACAGTGTCACCCTACCAGAAAGGCTATATGGCGTTTCTACAACCTAAACATAATCTTACCAAATATTATTTGAAATATTTCTTTCTTCATTTTTATTCTCATTTCTGTGGTCATACTAGTTGGTTTGTTGATTAACGCTGCACTCAGCAGTATTCCAGCTATATGACGGTGGTCTGTAAATAATCAAGTCTGGACCAAGCAGCATGAGCATCGACCTACGCAATTAGGAACTGATGACATGTGTCAACCAAGTCAGCGAGCCTGACCACCCGATACCACTAGTGGTCGCTTATGACAAGCATGGGTTGTTGAAGAACAATTTTAACCTGGATCTTCACGGGTTACGTGTTGATTTTACTTGATAGGATAAAGAATCAATTAATCTCAGTTTTAAAGTCTGAAATGACTTACCTGCATCTTTGGATACACATTTGGATCATTGAGGTAGGGTTCTACATCTGACAGGTAGGTGTGCATAATGTCCGACTTGGCTCCCAGCACAGCCTGCAAGACAAGAAGCAACCATAGCATGTGGACCTATATTTAGGCACTATTGTAAAACAAAGACATTTTAATAATATAATTTACAAATTACTGTCACTTATGTATGCATGAAACAACTGTGTTGCTGTGAAACCTAAGTACTTCCAGAATCGTTCTTGAGAATAGCTCTCACTGTAAGAAAGAAGTTGCTCATCCATATATTGTTATTCTTCCTGAATACCATTAAGGGCCACTGATTTTGCCTTATTATACATGTATGTGTCTAAACTGAAAATATGTAAAACCTTTTAAAGATTCCTTTGGTATTATATAAATTTCATGCTCACCATCCCTCTAAACACAGCAACTATGGAGCACAATGTAAAGAAGACTGCAAACAGCAGGTCAACTGGTCTTTCTAGCAGACTGGGTATCTGGGAAAACAAAAAGTAAGGATTTTACACCACAACTATTCACAGGCAGCAACGAGTACCACAGATGCAAATAAATAACTGTTCTCCGGCATCATGCATGATTTTATAAAATAGTTACTATTACCAGGATATTTAGGATATTACCTTATTCACTCTAATAAGCATCAAGTATGCTCAGAAAATTCAGAAATGGGGCCCTTATATAAACCGTACATGAGATCCACTTCTTGTCCGTGACAAACTTTTTCAATCATAGCTGAAGCTAATAACTTAGTAAAACAGAGACTGTGACGAAACCTTTCAGTTTTAGTACACATTCTTACAAAAATTACTGATGGTGAATATGGTAGAGAAGAATGTGTGTGGTGCTTATTGGATAGGAATCAACACTACTACAATGGTAAGTACAACATTGTATATTAAGGGTATGGGTTCGTATCTTTCAATATGCACTTTTGTCATCTTAAGTCCAAACACATCAAAATATCCAAACTGCATGACATTGTCAGTGTATGAAATAAGGCCAGTCCGACCGCCCGAGACGGGCTAGATTTTTGACAGATGGTCTAAATTTACAGCTAGCCAGCCCGATGATCTGGTAAATTTTTAGATATTCCATACATCTAAGTAAATTCACCATATATTGGTGTCTGGTCTGGTTAAATCCATTTTGGGCTGGTAACATTTTGAAGTTACCAGCCCTGATGACAGGCTGCGTTTTTGGCTTATTTCATACACTGATTACATGTTTGTGCTTCAATTGTAAATTAGTCCAAGGGAGACAACTCTTTGAGTATGTGAAATCTGACCCACAAAAAAATACTATGTGACAAATACATGTAAGAACATGCTTTCCTTTCACACATTTTCTAGTTTGTATCTACAATGAGTGAAGCCCATTACTGGTGTCCCCCGCCGTGATACTGGAATATTGCTAAAAGCGGCGTAAAACCAAACTCAGTCAGTCAGTCAGTCTAGTTTGTATCTGTTCTCCATAATTTTTTATTTAAAGTGTCCATTCCACTTGTCAGTATCATTTGTCAAGGTATCTTCTAGATACTCGGGAGCAGGGCAAAAACCACCCGGACAAATGTCACCTAGGACAAAAGCCACCTAGGACAAATGCCACCTAGGACAAAAGCCACCTGGATAAATGCCACCTAGGACAAATGCCACCTAGGACAAAAGCCACCTGGACAAATGCCACCTAGGACAAAAGCCACCTGGACAAATGCCACCTAGGACAAATGCCACCCAGTTATTTTACCATTACACAGAGGACCTTCTTGACTTTAACGTTGATTTTGTTGTAAAATTATGTAGACTTTGATGAATAATTTGGTTTCTTATAAAAGAATATTCACTTTGAAAAAATGTTGATTTTGATGTAAAGTTATGTAGACTTCGATGAATAATTTGGCAATATTAATGAAAGTGTGAATGAAAAATGAAAAAAGAGGAGAATGAAAGCAATAATGAAAATGTGTAAATGAAAATGAATTATCATGCAAATACATCTGGGAAACATGATATTGTGTTGGTGGTTTCTATTTTTATTTGGGTGGCATTTGTCCTAGGTGGCATTTGTCTGGGTGGCATTTGTCCTAGGGGGCATTTGTCCTAGGTGGCTTTGGTCCGGGTGGCATTTGTCCGGGTGTTTTTTGTCCGGGTGGCATTTGTCGAAGACCCTAGATACTCAAGGGACTGATACTAATGAGACTTCTGGTATCAACATCAAAGTCAGTTTAGCCATGCAGCTACCACAGAACAGTTACTTCCTTGATACTTACCCTGAGGTACGACCTGACAAACAACGGCCTCTCCTTGATAAACTTGAAGCCAGCAACCAGAGGTATTATCATGTAAGGTACATTGAGCAAGTACGACCACTTGATACCAAACTTCCCTGTCAACAGAATATCAATAGCATTTAACACAAAAAAACTTTCCTACAATAAATTTACTTCTTACGTTTCAATCAATAAAAAGAAAGCAGTCAATAAAATTGTTTTAAGCACTTATCTAAATTTGTCGCATGTAACATATGGAATATAGGAAGTGTTTTGTCTTTCTCATATTTTACGTTTTCCTGGCATCTTAGTAGCAGGTTCTGGCCTACCCCTTGAAATGCTCAGGGGGTGAAAGCTGTGTCTAACAACAGGGCTAGGTATGGGTTTCTTCATGTGCTCCATGAAGATATTTAGCTGTGCCTTTTGGAACTTCAGCATGCCCACAAGCAGAATACTCTTTGTCAATTTCTGAACTTTGTCAACATTCTGTCATCTAGGCCAGAAGACATGGTGTTGAGAATCGTTGAGATTGACAAAAGTCTTTTTACTTAATTTAGCTATATCACTGCATGTCATAACTATGTAGGAAGAATTTGAGCCCAAAGCGTTGCACGATACTTTGGTAAAAGCCACAAACATCAGGTTGGTGCTGATAAGCCTAGAAGCAAAGTAAGGTCAAATTGGGATTGACGCTTACATGGATAGGTTTTTCGATGAAATTTAAGTTACGCTGCTCTTTTATGTATGGGCCACCTGTCCCCCAAGCTTTGTATTGGAAACACTGTTACAAGGTTTTATAATAACATATATAGTTCTATGATTAACTTCTAACAGGAGGAGCTTGTTTATCCATTCCACAGCAATATTAACTGGGCACTACACTATGAGGAATTTTAAACCTGAACAGTAGCAGACATATCATGTTTTTCAGGTTAAGGTGAGAGAAAAGTCTAAAATGACAACACCTTTGATGTTTCACACTTTGATGACATCAGTATTTTGCTGACATATCAATTTAAGGATCATAAATTGGGATCAAATCTATAATTCTAAATCCTCGGTGCCTGATAGAGCTTTTTGCCACTTTTATCCACTGAACAAAGAATCTTGGGATTAAACGTCTGAGGTTTACCTGCTACATTTCCGGGCAGGAACACGATCATACTGTTCATGATGGAGCCCACCCAGTACAGTCCAACCTCACGGTAACTCTCCCTGAAACAAAACAAAAATAACAAACACAAGGCAAAAAAAATATGTCCGTTTTTGGTAACCCGACCGACCCTATCCTAACCACCCAAAAAAAAACACCCACCCCGACCCTAAATCTTTTTTTTAACCAAGTCAATATCATTACTGGAGTGCATTTCAACTCATCATTTTTATCCAAATCGATTATGATATTTTCATGTTTTTCAGTGTACATAGGGCTAAAATGGATTGCATTGAATTGGCATAATGGGTCCTCAATGAATAAATCTGCAAATAAATAACATAAATAATGATTTGATATAGAAATCTTTCAATGTTTCATCATAAGGCATTGTCACTACATGATATGGTACTCTTGAAGACCTCAGGTGCCCACCTGGTGCCACTAAGAAATAAAACAAAAGAGTAAAAAATAAAAAGATAAAACCGACCCACCAACCCTATTTTTATAAAGCATGTAATAGGAAACGGACATATATTTTTGGGGCCTAAAATATTTTCACTGAAACAGAACCACTGCGGTTCAGGGAATTACAGCTATAGCACTACACAGCCTAAGTAAACGTAGGCTCAGTATTATTCGTTACACTGCTTTACTAGTAGAAGGTCGTGTCAGCTAACCTTTGAGCGACCTATGACCGTCCAGTCAAACGCGAGACGGACGAACGGATTTAACCAATCAGACAACGACTACTTGTTAGGGTTCGGCGGGACTTACAAAACGGTTTTTGGATTTTTTCTTCCCTGGTCGCTGACACTGATCTATATATCAACAAAAGAAAATCTGCATAAAATACAGATATTTGACCTGCAGTAGATATGCTTAGGGATTCTAATGACAAGGTTACTATAAGCTTATATTTCTGCAAGATGACATCCTTGAATATTGACAAGAACGCTTTTTTCAGCGACTGTTTACACATTGCGTCCTTCATGTGTATCACTCGGAAGCGATCGTGCGGAAAATAGCATTTGGAATCGTTTGAGTTTTTATGTAAAGGTTCAAAAGGTATGTGTGAATATTAACTTCCGCGATTTGGTAAGCTGTGTTCTGATTGGTCAGTCCAAAAGGTTAGCTGACCCGATCTTCTACGAGGGTTTGTTAGACTCAATATAGCAGTATAACGAATAGTACTGAGTTTACTTAGACTGTAGCACTACATAAGGGCTGTGTAGAAGGGAACATAATAAGGACAGCATATTACCTGCCAAACAACAACGCTATACATATGAGGCTCTATGTATCTCCTTTTCCCTTGGACTGTGTTAATGATATGTCAATAGGTCCTTTTTCAAGATTTTAATTCTCTATATCATTCTTACACTCTTATGCATCTGTTTGCTCTGACAAAATATATTACCTATATTAATCCCATCATCTATGTGACTGTTTGGTTTTTATGTACAGTACAAATTATAATTGAATTGTAGAATACTTGGGAGACTGTGTCCTTGGAGAACTTATACCCAATCCAGAGATGCCAACTCTAATTTAGCCCAGTTAGTATTTTGGCCAAAAACTGATGCAAAAATTAGCATTTTTTTGCCAAAAGTAGTATTACCTTTTCCAAAGAATGTTCATATTTAATTAAAAATATATGGATATTCTAAGAACTTGTTATTAACATTCATACTCACCTAAATCAGTAGTAAGTATCCACATATAGCTTGATACTGAATAAAATGTGGTTGAAATTTATTGTATATGGTATGTATGCTAATTGATTATATATTTTAATGTACTTTTTGAGAGATTTGTATGTTTTTACTGCTATTGTAGTCACATAGTTTTGTGTTGTTTTTTCATAAATAAAATTGTATGGTTTTGACATCTCTGCCAATCCCATTCCCCTTTTATGAATAAAATATACTTAAAAGAAAACAATCTATGCACCTATCTTGACTTGAATAAGTTACTAAAACTTTTGATTAACTGAAAAATTACTATTTCATTTTAATGCAAAACCACCAATGTAATGTTCCTATACTTCTTTAACAGCTTATTACTAGTATTCAATAATCAAAGAGACATGTTTTGACATGAGAGAGCCTAAGAGCAAGTCTAGCACCTACCCTGTACAGTATAGTGTGATGATGGCCAGATACAGAGCCAGGTGAGCTGTACCATCCCAGTAGTTGATCATGGTGCCATAGGCGGTCTTCAGGTACGGCTCCCCTTCCAGGAAGTAGAAACCCATATACCCTGACACATAGCCATCCAGCTCTAGCCCAATGAACAGGTCGATCACTGAACTCCATGAGAAACATGCACAGGCTGCAAGTCAAACAATGTGTTGGAGTTAAATTATATTTAATTCCATTACTAAACATATGTGGTGACAATGAGAAATGTCTATCAATGGCATCTTTAACAATGGAAATGACAGTATGACAGGTTCAGAAGCTCACTTGAATTGGATGCAGTGTACAACATCAGATTTCTTCATCTTATCTTTTTTTTATGTGATTCTATTTGATATATACACTTTGCAGTCGAAAATATCCCAAACATATTTGTCTATGAGATAATGATAAATACTAGCAGTACAAAAAAAGGAAATATGATAGTTACCATTTAAACAAGGATGCAACACTTTACATTTAGTCTCTTTGATGATGATAAGACGAGAAGGTTTTGCAAATATTATCAGATTGATATCTAGTCTTTGAAAATATATAAATAATACAAATAACACACTCCATTTAAACTGAAAATGAGCTAAACATATTAGATTGAAGTGAGTGTGTTTTCTTGGGAATGATAACAGAGCTTGAACCTGAGGAAAACCAATCAACATTTGCTTCATTATTAGGGCTGGAAGATAATTTAGATCAGGATCTGTGAGACTGACTGACATATTATATATATGGTCATTGATATGTTTCTAATAAATAGGAAGAAGAAAAAAATCACCAATTGTACAAGTTATTTTTTACAAACTTTAAATTTAAACACTTTTTAAGAGTATTTATATTAATTTATGATGCCCATGTATATCACTATATGTTTATTATGTTTAATAAAGGGAGTTAGAAAAGGGTCAGGGTGACCTGCTGTTTTTATTAGTGTGAACGGGTACAATTGTCATCATATCTCATCACCATAAATTTCCACAGCATCGTGGAAAACTGACATAAAAGAACTTAATATTATGTCACATCGGAATGAAAATTTGAGACTGGTAACACAGAATATGGCGTATTCTAGGAATTACACGGTTGTCTCCCCTGCTGAGAACTTCCATGTCTCACTAAAGTGGAATGAACTAAATTGATACGAGAGTTTACACTACAAACAGTGTATATTCAACCATAAATCATCTTGCACTCGTTAAAAATGTGTGTTTTGTGGTTCAGATATTCATGTATAAAAAAAACTTACCGTAGATGACCGGGTCTATATTTCTAAAGAACCGCCTCATAAAAAGTGCCGGTAGAACTGTTGCTCCTAATAAACTTAACGTCCCTGCTCCGAAAACAAGTCGCTGATCTTTCATTGCATCTGTTTTGTTCAAATAATATGCTGTCGGAAGAGACGTCAGTGACGTCAAAATGACAACGAACACAATCCACAACGACATGCTAAAGCCGGTACTGCTACAGTCTCACAGATCAAAGGAGCCGCCAGTGCTGTGGTAGGCAGGTGCACAATCAAATATGTACTACTAGGTGTACTACTAGTTGTAATTGTAACCAAATAATTACATTTTGTCACATGACTACTTAATAACACATGTAACTAACAACATTTATATATTTTATATGTATTTCAATGTTTCGTTGCATTCATTGCAGCTTTTGAATGCCATAGTTTATCATATTTACAGCTGTTGGGACGATATATATAAAAGTAGACGTACTACTAATATTATCGTGCTAAATTCGTCTGCTCGTTTCCTGCTGATAGCTGATTATATTTAAATTCTGTTTTGAGATGATGATATTTTTTTAATTAAAATATAGGACTACCGATGAATGTATTTCTTTCGGTTAGTGAATATCTATATCCAGGATACGATATTCTTGACGCGGGAAGCACGCGTCCGTATTATCTTTTGAATATGCTTAGGTCACAGTTAGATTCACACGAAAAGGCTCCGAAACAAAGACATGAATCTATTTTTAGACTGTACAGCACATCTGCTAACTCTTAATTGTCGACATGCCTGTTCATCTTTCTTTTTTTCTAGCGTGTTCACAGAGGGACGCCCAGATGCAGCAGGCATGCACGCGAAATTAACAGGAAAGTGGGGATTTATCACCAATAAATATTAATAATGAAGATTGCTGAGAATAATTTCCATGTATTATTTATTAACCTATCAACAATAAAATAATTATTTATACTGCATTCCTTCAATTATTGTTCTTACAGCAGTAGAACATATTTAATTAGTATTATTTTATTCGCATACAACACTCATGTCATAACACTTTACTCAACCGCTGTGAAGTCAACTATGAGAACCCACAGTGAGAACAATGTGGATGTAAATAGTATATATATTATGTTTCATGTCCTATGTTAGAGCAAGCAAGCGAGGCAGCACAAGCCGTATTGAGGTTCTTCATACTTGAAGTATTCAATGGTCATGATTTGTCCCAGGTAATGCTATCCCCGTTGGACCCTACCGTGACCCGTGGAATGGCGCTATGTCGTACTAACCAAATAAATGCCGGTGCACAGGAAATAGGTAAACACTGAGACTAAAAACTAATAAGAGTTTGGATGATTTTAGAACAGTCGGACTATTTTCAGCAGGGCGTGACCTAAAAAAATACCTAACTACACATTGTGCGGCCTGAGGTGAATAGCCCTAGCATTGACAAGGGTTAACCAGCGAGCACAGGCACTTCGCGGTCATTGCATTGGAAAGATTGGACCAAGATTGACGTATTGTATTTGTAAGACATGAAATGACATGTACAACTGGTGAATAATGTAAGATAAAAACATGCATACACCCTTATTACACTTCTGCAGTATTTCAGTTATATCGTGGTGTGCCGGGCAGATGACCGCTGTAAGATTCAAAGTGAGTGAGGGCGTTGGGTTTAGCGCCAAGTTGAACAGTATAGCGCCGAGTTGAACAGTATATCAATTAAATCTCGGTTTGTCCGTTTAATGGGTGTAGATGGTCGGTGTAGAATGTCGAATGAGTGAGTTAGGTTTAGCGCCGAGTTGATAAGTATACCAATTAAATCTCGGTTTGTCCGTTTAATGGGTGTAGATGGTCGGTGTAGAATGTCGAATGAGTGAGTGAGTTAGGTTTAGCGCCGAGTTGAACAGTATTTCAATTATATCTTGGTTTGTCCGTTTAATGGATGTAGATGGTCGGTGTAGAATGTCGAATGAGTGAGTGAGTTAGGTTTAGTGCCGAGTTGAACAGTATTTCAATTATATCTTGGTTTGTCCGTTTAATGGATGTAGTTGGTCGGTGTAGAATGTCGAATGAGTGAGTGAGTTAGGTTTAGCGCCGAGTTGAACAGTATTTCAATTATATCTTGATTTGTCCGTTTAATGGTTGACATGGTCGGTTCATTTTATAATTGGAGAGGTTTGTCACCCCTGGGATGTGTTTGTGGGGTGTGTGTGTTGGGGGTGGGGAGGGGTGACAACCATTATTGGCATGAGTATATCTTGGTTTGTCCGTTTAATCGGTGTAGATGGTCGGTGTAGAATGTCGAATGAGTGAGTGAGTTAGGTTTAGCGCCGAGTTGAACAGTATTTCAATTAAATCTCGGTTTGTCCGTTTAATGGATGTAGATGGTCGGTCGGTGAGTGAGTTAGGTTTAGTGCCGAGTTGAACAGTATTTCAATTACATCTTGGTTTGTCCGTTTAATGGATGTAGATGGTCGGTGTAGAATGTCGAATGTGTGAGTGAGTTAGGTTTAGTGCCGAGTTGAAAAGTATTTCAATTATATCTTGGTTTGTCCGTTTAATGGATGTAGATGGTCGGTCGGTGAGTGAGTTGGGTTTAAAACCGACTCGAACCGATGCCTAGTTTCGGGCGTAATGTCTGTCAGATATTTGGTTATAAGCGCCAGGCTAGCTATTCTCGAAACGTTCATAGCCCTACGAACTTCTTAAGCCCATTCTAAACACATTGGCTACGATCAAAGTAAAGAATTCTTAGGGCTACGAACGTTTCGAGAATAAGGGTCCCATTTGTTGTGACGGCTCTTTACTAAGCATATGTAGGGGAATAATGTATAGAATCTGAAATTATCTAGCAACAATGAATAACATGCCCTGTCAATATTGCCAGCTTTCATTTTAGGTTTGTAAAGATGTAGCCGTAGCTTTAAGAAACAATCGATGTTTACAGCTGAAATTACAAGATTAGATTCTCAGGTGAGATGCTTGGGTTTTATTAGTCCCTTTGAAATATTACAAATATTGCAAATGTTTTGCATTGGCGGCGTAAAACTAAACTCACTCACTCACGCTAAAAATATATGCTGATCCCGTTAACACTGCCTCATGGATACATCTTATAACGAAAGCGACACGCCCACTCTCTTGGGTTGCACGGCACAAGGGAGATAAGTTTCGAATTAGCTCCCTTGGTATTCAAAATGGCGACTTCCATGTGTAGGGCATGGGTCTCACGAAGCATCAAAGTTTTTAGTCGAGGAATATCATTTTCAGGTGCAGTATGGTTATATTTTACACGTCAACACTGTATATTACACTACATATATTTCTCTGTAAGACATATGCTCTATCGTCTTTTGTGAGTTGTTATTGGCAAGCAAATCTGATGGTTTGTATCGCCGGTGCTGTGGCTGTCAACTGGACCAAGGTCGTCGTTTGGGATACAGTCTATATTCTAAGTTGTTTCGCCGTTAATGGCAACAGCGCATCGGTTGCAATTCATCACGCCTGTCATTTCGACCCTGTCTGTAATATGCGTGAGGGTTGGGTATCTTTCAACCCCTCGATCCTTTTCCGATCCCATTTACAATCATTAGGGTTATGTACTCCTTTCCGATGAAAACAGCACCCACCAAATGCCACGAACATTTGAAATTGCTATTGCTGGCCGGTCTAACATCACTGCAGGATGCCTTACAATCCGACCTGTGAAGATCCAGGTTAGAATGGATCTTCTCATGCTTGTCGTAAATGCGACTATAAGGGGATCGGGTGGTCAGGCTCGCTTACTAGGTTGACACATGTCATTGTATCCCAATATCGTAGATCGATGGGTAAGAGTTCCGCCCGTAACCCCGCTTGAAAGTATTCTATTTATTATGATTATTTCAAGAGGTTAGGGTTTAGGTTTGGGATTTAGATTCAGCATTACCTTAGGTTTTGGGTTAGGGTTAGGATAGGCTTTCAATAGAAACCATCTATTCTTGCAATAAATCTTAGGCATAGAATGATAATAAAATTGGGGTTACGGGAGGAAATCTTTCTGATCGATGCTCATGCTGTTGATCACTGGTCCAGACTCAATTATCGACAGACTGCCGCCATAATTAGGCGTAAAACTAAAACTCACTGTACAAAACTACAATCCATATATCTGTGGTTGTGAGGGTATCAGTGCTCCAGATACTTGTTCACCTCAGGGGCACCTCAAAGCTATTTCCAACGTATGCAGATTTTGTACAGGTGGTACCCATGCTTGTATCTGTTTCCCGATAAAGTCCCAAATGTGCTGCAGGGAGCCCAGGTCTGGATTTGTGGAAAACAACTTCTTTATCATATAATATAAATGTCAACAATAAGTGAGCACAATTTAATTGTGGTGCCTATCATTGCTTCAAACTTTGGAACCCAGTACAACGGCACTATCATTCACCATGTTCCCATGTATGTTTCAGCACGCAGACACCTACTATCAGAAGCATACAGTTGTCAAGATGCCTGGCAAAAAGATTACAGTCTCCTATTCTTTCAAATGTTTCATTAAGTAAGTCTTGTTTTGGGTACCATATCACATAGCAATGTCATCAATAACATCTGAAATAGTGAAATTTACTTCCTAAAGCTCTCTCTCTCTCAACATGAACTCTTACAGTTGTGGATCCATGCAGATCCGGACTAGAATTGATCTTCAGTAACTCATGCTTGTCATAATTGGGGGTCAGGCTCGGTGACTTGATTGGCACATGTCATCGTATCCCATCTGTGTAGATTGATGCTCATGCTGTTGATCACTGGATTGTTTGGTCCGCCCTTGATTACAGACTGCCACCATATAGCTGGAATATTGCTGAGTGTGGCATAAAAGTAAACTCACTCACTCACTCTTACAGTTGTAAGACAGACACCAAGTCACACTTGAATGTAATGTTGTCATGATACAGTGACCTGTGAAGGTCCGTGTTAGAATGAATCTTCAGTAACCCATGCTTGTCGTAAGAGGCGAATAACGGGATCGGGTGGTCAGGCTCGCTGGCTTGGTTGACACATGTCATCGGTTCCCAATTGTGCAGATTGATGCTCATGCTGTTGATCACTGGATTGTCTGGTCCAGACTCGATTATTTACAGACCGCCACCATATAGCTGGAATATTGCTGAGTGTGGAGTAAAACTAAACTCACTCATGATACAGTGGATGAAATCAAATGCTACCATGACAACTGGGGTTCAGGGACTGGTGCTTTTATCATGTTTACTATTACCTGTGTACTTAGCATGGTTGTAATACTTCAGCATATTCATTAAAAGCAGATATTTCCTCATTGTAATCATGGTAATGATAAACTTACTTTGTGAGCTGGTAAATGTTATTGTATTGTAACAATTACCTTAATAATCACAGTATCACAAACCAATATTTACCCATTTAACCACTGTTTGCTATGTTTAATGCGATGCTATAATGTCTTGCTTGAACTTGGTTCTTCCTAATGTTCTACATTGTATGTTTTGGGCGGTGGGGTAGCCTAATGGTTAAAGCGTTGGCTCGTCACGCCGAAGACCCGGGTTCGAATCCCCACATGGGTACAATGTGTGAAGCCCATTTCTGGTGTTCCCCGCCGTGATGTTGCTGGAATATTGCTAAAAGCGGCGTAAAACCAAACTCAGTCAGTCAGTCAGTACATTGTATGTTTCTATTGCAGATGAATTTGCTGTCCAATTGCGTGACAGGTTTGAGAAACAGAAAAGAGCCAGTGTGATTGATGTTGATATTGTAAGTTGGATGTTTCGCATTCTGACTACAGTCCGTTTGAGTCAGAAACAGACCGATGAATTGCAAATTTTATCATTGTACAAAATTGCCACATAAACATAAATAGTACACGTTTATCATTTCCTAATACCCAACAGCTTTCTTATATTTGAAAATTTTCCGGACTCCACCAAAAAAGTTGTTTAACAAACTATCATTCAAATATTGACACAGTTCACTATTTGTTACAAGGGAGGAGTGCAGAGAAAGGGACAGCCAGGTGTTAGAGGAGCACGTGCACAAGTACCGACAAAGTGATTGATTCATTAACCTGTGCTGTGCCGTCTCCATCCTTTCTCGAACACCTGGTTGTCCCTTTCTCTGCACTCCTCCCTCGTAACAAATAGTGAACTGTGTCAATATTTTGATGATAGTTTGTTAAACAACTTTTTTATTTTTAGGACATAAATTCTGCAAAAAACTCACAGAGTTGGTCTGACGTTTTGATTATGATCAGTGTTTCATTGAGTATTTTCTGTTTATTAGTTTTCGAGTTAGATTGCAATTCATCGGTCCGCTTTTGAGCCAAACGGACTATAGTCAAAATTGTATTGCCTGAACAGACGAAACAAGCTTTAAGAAACAAGAGTTACAGGAAAACCCCATAGTTTTAGCTTGGGGTAGATTGTTGTTATGGCACCATCCATCTGTCATGTTTTCATTTGTTACAAATTTATGTTTACATAAATTACAAACATTGAAAAAATTCCTGATGAAAGTTCTCATTCACAAAACCTGTAAACTGACTAGACACTACATGGATATAGTGACTTGGTTGATTGTGTTACATCATACCCTGATAATAAATCAATCATTGGATTGTTTGGTCTAGACTTGGTTATTTTCAAAGTTGCTATGACTTGTGTTATTTGTGTACAGCTGGTCAACAAAATGCATGAGATGGACGTCTCAGATGCAGACTACATGGAGGACCTTATATGCAGGTAAGCTATCACCTGTATCCTTCACCTTGACAACTGGATGAAACATAGGGTTTGGATGGTTACTGGTTGGCATGCTTGGTACTATACAGTACTGATGAGAATTAAACTGAGGGCCAGCAACAGCTGATTGGTGTAGTCCACATTTAATGAATTAATTTTTTTATAGACCATATTGTTATCTCAGTAATATATCTGGTCATGAAGCTGTATGTGAGAGTAGGGGCGGTGGGGTAGCCTAGTGGTTAAAGCGTTGGCTCGTCACGCCAAAGACCCGGGTTCGAATCCCCACATGGGCACAATGTGTGAAGCCCATTTCTGGTGTCCCCCGCCGTGATGTTGCTTGAATATTGCTAAAAGCGGCGTAAAACCAAACTCAGTCAGTCTGTATGTGAGAGTGACAATATGTACAATGACTATAGTCTTTAAATCAAGTACAGTAAGCTATGTTTACAATGAACATGCATATAATGAACTGATGAATATAATGAACTGTTTCTTTTGTATTGACAAGCATGGACAACTTGCTGTTTATCATAACTCAAGGGAAATGCATATAACGAACTGTTCTATGGTTATAACTAGGGCTGTAACAATGTATCAAACTATCGATGGATCGCAATTGTTGAGTCTGCGATAGCAATTAATCGATGGTAGAAATGAAAAACTATCGATGCATCGATAGTATGTGTGAACTATCGATAGTTTAGTAATTGACTTCCGTTGATAAATGCACAGCTCTAAATACAGAAAGTATCAGATTAGTTCACTTTGATTTAGAGTTATCCGCCTTTGTTACCTCTTAAACAAACTTGATCTGGGTTTCAAGTTTCTTGTCAGTTATTAAAAGAGATTGAGACTACTTCAGCTTGCTTTTATTTCATATAAACTATACATTCATTTGGGAAATGACTTCAAATGAGGCAATTCAAGGAGAATAAAAACTATTGCGATAGTATTGCAATAGTATGTTGCAATAGACTATCGCTATCGCAATAGTAGTTCCCCTCAGTAGTCCCCCCTTGTTATAATGGACTAAAATTAGTGGTCCCTCTCCTCTGAGTTCATTTTTACCGTAGTTAACTGTAAATTAATCTTGATTATATTGACTTGAAGTTCTTATGATTAAAAATTTATGGATTTTTTTTGCTGCAGATTTCGAAATAGTGAGGATGCTGTACCTGTGAGAGACTCAATAGTTCATGCCATTGTCCGTGCATATATCGACCTCGGATTGACAGATAGACTCCTGGACATGATGAGAAACAGGGTAATTAAACGACATGATATATGCTTGAAATGTGATACATCATGATCATCTCTACCACAGAGTCATGGTCAGTCTAGTGCTTCCCAGCCTTGTACTGTACTGCAGAGTGTCCTCCCTTAGTAATGCCAGGTTGTCAGTCTCAATCCCAAGTATGATCCTTGACACGTCCGCATGTTGCTGAGGATTGTGGATAAAAGTCTATGAGCTGTATCACTCTGGGCTTTGGGGTAACCTAGTGGTTAAAGCATTTGTTCATCATGCTGAGGACCCAGGGTTCGATTCCCCACATGGGCACAATGTGTGAAGCCCATTTCTGGTGTCACCCGCTGTGATATTGCTGAGAGCGGCGTAAAACTAAACTCACTCACTCAACCTGGACTTCACTCCACCTGAATCGGACACATATAACTGAATACTTTTCAAAGGGGATCACTTCTGACTCTATGGTTGGGTTCAAGCTAGTCCCCAGTAACCAGTGCATGTTGTAACACTAACAGGTGGATCAGGTTGTCACTGACTTGGTTCACTGTGTGGCATCATTCCCTGATGGCGTGGGATGCTTACCAATCACTGGTTGGTCGTGTATTGGTTCTGTAGCAGAGATGCCAACCCATACGATTTAATCGTATTCGTTACTAAAATACAACACAAAATATGCTACTACGATAGCAGTAAAAATATACGATTTTAAAAAAAATACCGGGTACATTAAATTAAATTATTAAATAGCATACGTACCATACACAATATATTTCAACCACATTTTATTCAGTATCAAGCTAGTGAGTGATGAATGAGAAACAGTAAACATTATTTGTTGTTTTGTAACTACAGTCTGCATGGTGTTTAGTAATGATATGGATGACTAATCAACACTCAGTCAACGATTTCTTGCAGCAGTGTTATCAATGCTTATATCCTCTTCAAGCATTTTGAGGTGAGGTGAAATTGGGTTTATGGTCGTGCTTGAGAATATTTCGCTCATATGACGACGCAAGCATTTTGAAGAAAGCATACAGCATTAGATGGAATTCTAGAAATTTGTTCATTCAAGTTATTTTACCTTTTCAATGATGAAAATAAACAAGTTTTGTTTTATTCTAGAGGGATTATGGTATTTTCCCTGACAGCTTTGCCACAAACATCCTCATGGACCACTTCATCAAGGGAGACAATTATGCAGGTACGTCCCTCACAGAGCATCAGCCTTACAAATCAGTCGAAGCATCAAAGTCGTAGGGTAGATGTTTATTTTCATTTGCATTGGAAATGATATGGATCATATTGAGATATTGTTATCATTGACATGTTTAACATAAAATGTCTGCTTGGCTATTACTGATGTTTTATAAGAAAGAGTCTTTCAGTCAAGTGTAGAATATATTCTAGTTATTGTGAGATATTGCCAGTAAGATGATGCATACTGAATCACTCAATAAACCCTGAAATTAGCATGAAATGAAAACTGTCAGTGTTATGTGATCAGATGCAGCGAAGGTGTCATATGAGATGATGCTACAAGAGGACTTCAGCCACCCCATCACCTTCAGACTGTCCCTGTTGGCAGCCCTCAAACACCTGCTCAATTCCAACATAACCAACCTAGCTCTTCAACCAACGCCTGAGAATCCTGAGGTGGGTCATGGTCTAAGGGAGATAACTCAATCAGTTTGACAGAGTGTAATGTCTAGAATATCTGCAATCCCTAATTCACGTCATTTCGTGTGTAAGCATTTTTCAAAAGTCAAAAATATATGATCATATGAATTAATAGGCCTTACTACCACCCCACCTGCTATCTTTAATTGTTTGCCCATTTCTGGTGTTCCCCGCCATGATATTGCTGCAATATTGCTAAAAGCAGTGTAAAACCATACTCACTCACTCACTCTTTAATTGTTTGTTATTATTGGTAAGTTTTATTCAAATATTAAAGAAATATGATACTTTCCGTGTGGTTGGACGTAGGGCTTAACAGATATGTACCATGTTTTTTGATATTTTAGGTTTGATCTTTGCACAAATGTTGTCCTGGGTGTATAGAAGTTTTTATCTTGGTCCCTCAGAAGGGTCTAATGCAGCCACCCGCGGAAATACTTGTTACAATTGATCTTCAGCAACCCGTATTGCTGTAAGAGACGACTAACGGGATTGGGTGGTCAGGCTTGCTGACTTGGCAGTGTTTCCGTTATATATATTGGACTTGACCGATACAAAGTAAGAATGTCCGGTTGTTTTGAATCTGTCGGTCATCGTGTCTGGCAAATTTTAAAATCAATTTTCTAAATACCTCTGTCAATTTTATTTCTCCTTGAAAAAGATTACGTTTTCACAATGACATTGAGGTGTTGTCAAATATAGAAATGCAGTTTTATGGAAACCCCAGACAGAACCACTGCTTGGTTGACACATGTCATCGTATCCCAAATGCGTAGGATGATGCACATGCTGTTGATCACTGGATTATCTGGTCCTTACTTTAATAGACAGGGCTCATATAGCTGGAATATTGCTGAGTGCTGAGTGTTAAACAACAACCAAACCAAACCAAACCTAGTGCAGCCATTCCTTCATTATTACTGACAAACTCTACCATACCGGAATCATTTAGTCAAGAGGTGAATGTGAGTGCATCCTCAGTCAGGAGAATGAGGGACATAAGGAGGGGTTTCAATTTCACAACCTGCATATTCCTAGACATATTTCCTTGAGAGCTTCTCTCTGCTTACATAGTGGCATGGTAGTGACTCTCTATTATCGCGGGCTGTCTGTTATCGCGGCACGCGAAAACATCAGGAAAGCAGAAAGACCACGCCCCGCATCGGCTGTTTACATATGCAAATTACGTAAATATATTCATCGCTCTTGAAAAAGTCATTTATTTCATTTGGAATGTCATGTCTAATCGTAGAAATAGTAAAGCATTCATCTTTTCAGTAAGTTCTAGAACATTTTGAAACTAGTATGACCCCTACTGCCATTACATCTAGCATGAATCAAAACTTACTTTGTCAAGAGTAATCCTGTGACAACTATAAGGTCATTTGCATATTTTCCGTGCTAAAAATATAACAGGAAGTGACGTATTATGCAACTTCACTCTACACACAGCAGCAACTTGTATGGTACATTTTAAGGCGGAAAAACAATATCTTGTAACGTTATTGTTACCTTGTATCCAAATGAATAGAAGTTTCAGATGTTTGGGTTAAAAACATGATGATATTATTAATGTGAATGAAATTCCTTAAATATTTTTTAATGATCAAACTATTTAGATTCGTTACTTGTCTTAGTAAACGTTTCACAGTGTTATCTGCTTGTACCGCGTGCCATAGTAAGAAAATAGCAATACCGCGATAACAGAGAGTTGCTTCAATTTCTGTGTGAAAAAAGACAATCGGAATTGCCGCAATGGTATTAAACGAGTTGCGGCTATGTGTCACATTATTTGTGACAGAAATGAAGGTTAAACATCAGTCAACTAAAAATATATATAAAATGCTAAATGTCAGTAGCCGTTCATAATCCCGATGGCAACAACATTAACTACCACGATAATAGAGGGTCCCATGATACTGTTTATTGATAGTGTGACCTTGTTGCAGTAAGTCAGTCATAATAATCCTCTAAACCCCTAGAAATTGAAAGACTTGAAATTTTGGAGTTTGTCGAATCAGAAAGTGATGAATCCATGTTCTTTGATTAGAGTTTTCATCTGCTGATAACTGTTCAAACGTAGCTGGATATGTACACTCAGGGTGCACACTTGCAGACGGAATGCTTGCTCACATGGAGTGTATCATTAAAGATGCACTTCACTAACCTGAAACTGGTCGAAATAGTGTCTGTAACCATTAAGTCAGCCATATCTCATTGTGCTAGCAGAAAAAAATGGCATTAGCCCATATTTATGCACAGACAGAGGGATGGATGGATGGACAGGCATATCTATAAGAAAACTAGATATGGATAACGAGCATCTTCTGTTAACAGGAGGAGGAGGACTGGGTGAAGGTCAAGGTCATCCGATATCCTTACTATGATGACCACTTTGACATCAAGGATGAACGCTTTCTACTAGGGAAGACCCTGTACATGTTGGGTGGCTCGGTTCAGAACAATGACCTGCTCAGCATCTCCCTGAAGGTGATGGGCCTGGGACTGTACCAGAAGTTTGACAAGGGCCTGCGTCTGCTGGAGGAAGTTGCCAACTCCAGCAGGAAGGATGCTATCCATGAAGAAGCTGTGAGTTCACACCTAAAAATAGTTATGTCATAAGAGAATGCTCTTCATGTGAATACCTGTAAAACTTGCAGACACATTTACTGATTGCTAATAGTTCAATAGAACAAGTGTCACCGTCACTAGAGCATAATACTGATTACAACTTATTGAAGAGTCTATTAATTGCAAGTTCTTCAATAGAAAAGAAGTGATATTATCATGTGAGTTAAAATTTACAGCCATATGTCTACCCTTTTCAAACTGGAAGAAGATAGTAATGGGAATTTTTACCATAAGTTAGTGACGCCTTTGCTGATGGTAAGTTGTACAATAGAACATGATAAAACAGAAGAAACATTTGTCTCGATCCTGGTCACTAGATGCAGACAACCATGGGAATACCCACTGCCTGGTACAATTTCGGTTTTCTCATAGCCTTGCAGATGTGGGTTCATATTGACTGTGAAATATGTTTGAGAGTCATTACCCAGGATCTTACACTTCTTGTGTTCCGATATTACTGCTATTGCTATTCATGACCATGACGGCTTTGAATGATATTGTCTCATGGATCATTATTCTGACTTTCAGTTGAAGATATTTGATGAGAGCATCAAGAATGCAGAAACACGTGACCCAGACTTGGAGGAGAAGGATTTTGGTCTTCGGACGATCGATGACGAAGTGTTTAAACTGAGACTTACTCCTGATGGCAAGGATGAGGTGACCAAAGGGTTTGAGGTGAGATAATGTGTCAGTACCAATGAAATCTTTAACACCAAGTCATGCTAGGGAGGAAGAGTTGGTTGATTGGTTGTTTGGGTGGTTGGTTGGTTGGTTGGGATGTTTAGTTGGTTGGGTTGTTGGTTGGTTGGTTGGTTGGTTGGTTGGTTGGCTGGCTGGCTGGTTGGTTGGTTGGTTGGATGGGTGGTTATTTTGTTGGCGCCACGCACAGCAATATTCTGGCTATATGGCGGCAGTCTGTAAATAATCAAGTCTGGACCAGTCAATCCAGTGATCAACAGCAGGAGCATCGATTTGCGCAAGTAGGATATGATGACAACCATGGGTTGCTGAAGACCCGGATCTTCACGGGTTGCTTTAGATAAGAGAGATAGAGAGGAAGAGGCCCCTTGTTCAAGAGTTGTGGACATGACGTTTATGGTTGTCAATAAATTATCCCATCTTGAGGATCCAGCTTTAATTATTCTTCAGCAACCTCTGCTTGTCGTACAAGGCAATTAATGTGATTGGGTGGTGAGGCTCAATAAATTGGCTGATACATGTCATTGTAATCCAGTTTTCAGGATAAGGTTAGGTCCAGACTGAGGACCAATCTCGTACAGTTGGAATAATGCTGAGTAAAGCATTATACAACAAACATTCAGCGAAATGTCAGTTGATACAATTCATAATTATCATATTAAGGGAGCATTCATGATTTATGGCTTGGGGGGTGGGGGTGATTTGTGTTTTTTTGTGCGATGATGATTTTAAGGGGGTCACCCATTTTGTTTTGGGGAGCTAGGGGTCATCAATTTTGTACATAAAAATATGTGTAAAATTATGCTTAGAAATTATGGGAAGGGGAGGGGGGATAATTGATTTTGTACATGACATGCAGGGGGTCACTTATTTGTACATAAATTTTAGGGGGGGTCATTCACATTGTACATGCTTCTCCATAAAAATCATCATCATTATCCCCTAGCCATAAATTGTGAACCGTCCCTAACTTTCCTAAGGATTTAACTTTTGAACTTGCTGCAAGCAATGTATGCGACTCAGGATGCAGTAGTCAATTCTGGATGAAATTGTAGACACAGCAAGTTTAACTATTGAAGGAGAGCCTAAGTTTTCCTATGTTTCAATGGTGGCAGTTTGCTGACTGGCAGACCCGAGTAACCAAATGTTCTTTACTGTGGTTGATGGCTGAACCATAGATCATTCTATGTTTAGATGTCCTATGTCACCATAAGCGTTGTGTGATACCGACTGACAACATTGTTTATGATAATGTTTTAGCCTCCAGCTTATGAAACTATATTAGGCTGATGAAAACTCACGGGACAAATATAGAAGCTGACACTATGCCAGCTGATTAAATATTTACAGTGATACTTTTATATTTCATGAAAACACAGTTATGAAAACAGGGAAGGATGTTGTGAATCAAGGTCATATTAAAATTAGTTTAATTGCTGTTCTTTGAAATTCACAGTAAAAATAATTACAGTGGAACTTTGTAAATGTTTATTTTCATGTTCCTTGCAAAAAATTTTTTTTACAATTTCCTTGTTGATATCTGGTAAACCCCAGAAAGTATCACACAGGTCCTGCATCTGTCAACAGGAAAAGGAATAAAGAGATTAAATGGTATGGCCACATGATGAAAACAAATAGATGACATCTCACAGTTTGCACAAACATCCTTGATATAAATGATAGAGGATATTGGTAACAAACATTCATGTACAAAAGTAATTCAGAAAATGAGAAATGGACAGACGTTGGAGGGTTCTGTGTGTGAGATGTAATGAAATTACCCCTTCAGTAACCCTGTGATATCACCAGCTGTTGATTACACCCCAGGGCAGCTAATATATTGTTTTAAAGTTTCAAAGATGCAATGGATTTTGCTTTCTAGCAAAACAACATCATAGTTGCAAATTGCAATCTTTATTCAATGGTACCCAATGGTCACACATTATAAACCTTTTACACCCTGTTCATATGCACATTTTATACCCCCCCACACCCCACCCGGCATGTAATGCAGGGGAATATAGTCGCCTCGTCTGTCCGGTCCATAATCATTTTGTTTCCAGAGCGTAACTAAAAAACTTTCAATATTTTTTACAAAATTGGTACCGGTAGATATATAAAACAGAACCCAAAGTGGTTTCCTTTTGCTATTTACAGATTTTTGTCATTTTTATTTTTCTTGGTTTCCATGGACTCTCAAAAGGCAGAGGTGGGCTTCATTTCTGGAGCACAAGTTGACAATCAGTATTTTTCAACAGAACTTCGCAGATATATGACACATATCCCATAGTGGTGCCTTTTGCTATTTGCGGATTTTTGGCATTTATATGTTCCACGATTTCCATGTAAACAATTTGGACTTGTCTAAAAAACATCAAGTTAGAGTTTAAGTAACTGTCAGATGATTTGTTCTTTCAAATATGTGAAGGCTGGGGGAATTTGTCATATTCTGATGACTCATGTTGCCTATGGACATAAATGTAATGTCTTACGTATGTTATTAGTACTGATGTAAATTTACATGTGCAGAATTAGTTCAAGTGTAAATTTACACATGTGTGTACTTTGTATAGGTGTACATTTACACATGTGTGTACTTTGTATAGGTGTACATTTACACATGTGTGTACTTTGTACATTTGTGTTCATGTGTACTGATATGTATGTATATTCGCTTGGTAGGTCCATAAACCTGATTTATCCACAAGCAACACACTTTGTACTATATGGGTATGTTTGGGACATAGAGTAACTCATGTGAAGTTTCTTTCTTTGTTCAGTATATCTGTGCAATTTGTTATATACATGTATGTGAAATATATGTGCATATGAACTGGGTCTTCTTACCTTTTTGGGGTGGTGTGGAAGCCCAGTGGTTAAAGTGTTTGCTCATGAAGTTTAAGGCCTGAGTTCTAATCCCCACATAGTTCCAATGTGCAAAGCCAATTTCGTTGCCTGCCCTATATCACTGGAATATTGCTACAATGGTGTAAAACCTCACTCACTCACTCACTCACTCACTCACACATGGGCAACTGAGGACCTATTGGACCCCGAATACTCAGAGCACATTCACAAATCAAAGAAGTATTAAAAGTGTTCTAATTGTGATAGTTGAAACAGTTTTTGTTCTGTTTATTCAGGAGATTGCCAACAAGTTGCGAATGAATAACCAGACAACAGAGGACAGTATGCTGCCAGTGGTCGAATCTCTAGCAGTGTCAGAACTCCCCACATACGAAGCTGTCGACATGGCAGCCCAGAAGGAGATGTTTGAGCAGTGGGAGAAGGAGCGGGTTGAGTTGGTGGAGGCTCAGATGAAGCAGTACATGAAGCAGCAGCGAGAGGAGGAGATCAAGCAGCAGCTGAAGGAGCTTCAGGAGAAGGAGGAGCTGTTGCGCTACTTTGAGTTGCGAGATCAGATCATCCTGGCGAAGGAACGTGCCCCGGAAATACGGCCTCCTGTTGTGGATGATGATGAAACACTACGGGAGAAGAGAATCAAACGGAGGAAGTATCGCCATCATATATAGCCTGAATACACTGGGAATATGTTGACACTGTGTTATGGTCATGTCAGGCTATGAAGTTCATGCTGGTCTGTTAACCCAAGACAACTAATTAGTGCTGAGGGCAAGAGAAAATCCATTTTTGGGATAGTCGTGTTAAAGGGCTTTAATTCTCACACAGTTCTGAAACCATTTGGAATGGAAAGCAAAAGTAAACATAGTAAGCAACATGTCTGGTTGAATCAGGACTAGCTACTATCTCAAAAGCCTAGTGAAATACTGTTTATACTATCTTGAAACTCAGTGTTGAAATTAAGTGGGTCCTGAGTTACCCAATGTTTCCTGCTGTTGAAATTTGATCTGAAAGACCATGACATCTTTAGATGTCAACAATAGGGTTATGAGGACGTCTGATTTCATGCTGTGTCTTCAACACTGAAAGACATGACCAAACTATTGGTGATTGGTTTCACCAGAGGACGAGTGATGAAACAAATGCAAATGTACATATTGTACCTGATGCATCAGAATCGGTGTTGAAGCCCGAAGGATACACAAAATTACAATTACCAGTTATTCACACCTGGGAAATAAAAGCATGAATAGCCAGTGATTGTTGCTGCTACTGAGTCTATGACTGGCATCCATTAACTGATGCAAGGGAAGACAACTCTTACATCTGTTTCTTATGTTTTTTTGGGATTACACTTTTTCAGGAAAGTACAGATTCTAGTACATTTTGTAGGTGGAATCCCGTCCACGATTCAAACTCACACTCTCAGAGTGTGCAATCTAATCGCCAGTGCACAGAATCAGGGATTTAACCCAGGTGCCTGACTCTAAGACTGTGGGTTCAAATCCTGGATAGTTTTAACCTGATAAAGTAATAGAATCTGTAGTTTACTGAGGAAGTGTAATCCCAGAAATAGCATGTTTCATTTGACCACTTTCTAAATAGCATTGTGTATTCACAACTCTTACATCCACCCGCACCAAGGATGTTGTACCAATCTGAGAACAGACAAACAGCCGATAGTCGTCTCATGTTATAAGGTGACATTAACTATAGTAATATCCCATTAGATCATTATGAAATACCTGATTATATGTGTTGCGAGCTCGCAAAACAGCACATGCCTGTAAATAACTCACCGAAAAGTGAGTGTGTGAGGAATAATCAGTCACTACAAGTATTTTGAGAAAACCAATGTTTCATTCATGTTACAGCTAGCTTACTAGTGCTTGTTCTACTGATGAAAATATTGATGTTCTTGTAGTTATGGTCAATAATATATCTCGAGATTACTTGATTCTTTTATTGTGATGTGTTATGAAAATATCCCATACATCTTACTGTTGTCAGATCATAATGACCAAAACAGCAGATTTATGAGGATGTTATACAACAAAAAATAGCAATATCAATAAATTATGAAACAAACATGTTTTCTTTTGTTATGTATTACATGGATATATATATTTTCAAATAATGTTTCATGTGTCACTCTTGCCAGTTTCACAACCATGCAGTCACTGAAAGCAAACAATGTATACTTTTGCCACATCACTGATTCAACAGAAACTATGATGTGGGGTCAAATTTGGTTTAAATATCTAAGCCTATTGTAAGCATGGATCCATGTTTTCAGTATGTCACTGCATCTTGTGGATCCCCTACCTGCTATTGCCAGGTGTTGTGTACTTGTCAATGACCCGTGCCATGATTTGCAAAATTGTTGGTTGGTGCCATGAAAACAATTCTATGGTTACTCATGTAACAAGTGCATATGGTTAGCTTAAAGTGGCTGTTTTCCTAAAGATGTGTTACCATATCATTATTTATCCAGTTTTAAATGGATACAATTTCAAATCATAAATCTACGTTTAAGTAAAGTTTGTGATCCTTAGCAAAGCGTGTTATGTCACTTTGTGAAGCCTAATGTTGTCGTGCAACTACCTGTGAACTGTTCAGGCCCTGGGGTAGCCAAGTGGTTAAACTGCTTTCACTCAAAGACCTGGGTTCGTTTAACCACATGTGTACAATGTGTGAAGCTCCCGGGTGATATTTATGGAATATTGTCGAAAGAGACGTAAAACTTCACTCACTCATTCACGCTGATGTATTCGAAAGAATGCCTGTCAAGCGTTGCCTCCCTTGCTATTCACATGATCGTGGGTTGAACCCCAGATCTGCCTTGGCTTCAAGTCTTCAATTGTTGGCAATCGTATGGGTGTTGAACATCTATGACTGGCCACAAGTATGACTCACAACTAAACATGCTAAACATGCCATTTGTTGTTTACTTTTACGTTTTATGTATTTGTCTACTGCAAGATACCATTTGCTTTAGAACATATGCTCTACAATCTATACAGTTTGAACATGGTCTTCTATCTTTTTGCTTACACATATATGAGATGAATATTGCACTGCCCACTGTCCCCCACTTTGTATTGTTTGTACTGTTTACAAGTCAAGATAATGGGGGTTGATATATGCCAGTATCGAATGGCAGTTGGGCTATTTGCATCTACTCTTTACGTTAGAAACCGACGCCGTTTTGACAAGTTCTTGTGCTTTTGTATAGTTCTATACTTATGTCTAGGGGTTCGTTACTTTTTAACAATATCAATCCTCCTGCTATGCTCTGGGAATATCCACCCACACCCGGGACCTTTGTTCACTATCGTGCATTTGAACGTGAGGAGTTTAAAGGATAAGGTTGACTTAATAGTTGCAGAATATGGTAATAATGATATCATTTGTTTATGCGAAACTTGGTTACACCCTGACATCTCAAACGACGAAATTATGATACCGGGTTTCCATCCACCGATTCGTAAAGATAGGCCTACAAGGGGAGGAGGGGTAGCAGTATACGTAAAAGATAATCTGTTTTTCACTTATGTTGCCGATCTTGATCTTCCAAACTTAGAGGCGGTATGGATTGAAGTGATTGCAAACAATAATAAACTGCTGATTGGTACATTCTATAGAGCGGACCTCAGGAACTATTACTGGGATTTAATTGATGAATCATTCGCGAAAGCTGCGGATAAGAACACTAAAATGATTGTTGTAGGTGACTTTAACGCTAACATACTCAACAGACGCAATGACAAAATTGAATACTTACAATTGTTCTACAACCTAACACAACTTGTTGTTGAACCTACACGCGTAACAGATACCACAACTTCCTTGCTTGATCTTATCTTTACTTCTGCTTATAGCATTGTACATGAATCAGGTGTTCTCCCTCCAATATGCAGTGATCATAGTCCAGTATTTGTCTCCCTCAAGTTTGGAAAGCCACGTAAGGAATCTTATAAGCGAATTATATACGATTATATCCACGCAGATTATGATGGCTTGAGTGATTGCATTGCTGCTACTGATTGGGGAAATATTACTGACCACAGTGATATTGATACATCTGTTTCACTATTTACTTCAAAATTATTACATTTGATAGATCAGTACATACCCCATAAAGAGATTGTTGTTAGACCGGGGGATTGCTCTTGGATGAATGGCCACTTGCGTAAGCTAATGAGGAAAAGAAATCGTATGCATAAAAACGCTAAAAAGAGAAATTTACCGGTAGATTGGGAGCGCTTCAGAGTAGCACGAAACAAAGTCAACTCCGAAGTTAGGAAAGCTAAACGCGCGTATGATATGAAACTAGATGATAGTATTAATTCTGAATGTGGTTCTAAATCATGGTGGCGCCTAGTGAAAAAATATATACAGCACAATACAAATCCAAATAAACAGTCTCCTCCTATCTTGACTAACGGGAAGGTTCTTGATCACCCCAGTGATATTGCTGATGCATTTAATGATTACTTTACTCAACAAGCCCAAGTTGAAGAACCTGAGAAGGAAACTTGCAGTTTACATGAGCCTGCAAATAAACTTAATGAGTTGCTCTTGTCCAAAAAGAGGTGCACGACATTTTATTAAACTTAAATACTACTAAAGCTAAAGGTCCAGATAATATTGGCAACATGCTTTTAAAAAATTAGCTGTATCTCTGTGCGCTCCCATTACTACGTTGTTCAATTTATCCCTACGTCTTTCCTGTTTTCCTTGTCAATGGAAACAATCTATTGTTGTTCAATTTATAAAAGGGTAGCGTTCATGATTGCAATAATTATAGACCAGTTGCCTTGACATGTTCTCTTTCTAAGGTATTTGAAAATGTGTATTTAAGCATGTTTATAATTTTTTCTTGGATAATGATATTATAACCACCTCACAATCGGGATTCAAACCTGGAGATTCAACTGTTTATCAGTTAACTGAATTATACCATGTGATTTCCAAAGCCTTGGATGATGGAAAGGAAGTTCGTGCTATATTCTGCGATATTAGCAAAGCATTTGATCGTGTTTGGCACGAGGGTTTACTAGCAAAATTAAAGTCAACAGGGATAAGCGGTTATCTTTTGGATTGGTTTGGGAGCTACCTTAGTAATAGGAAACAAGCCGTAGTAATTAATGGCTACATGTCAAATTATAGACCTGTTCTAGCTGGAGTTCCTCAGGGTTCAGTTTTAGGACCTCTGTTATTCCTCGTTTATATCAATGACTTGACTCACGGGATAACAAGTAATATTAAACTTTTGGTGGATGATACTTCCTTATATGTAATTATTGAAGACCCTGAATTCTCAACCGCTATACTGAATAGTGACTTAGAACGTATAACAGACTGGGCTGATAAATGGCAAGTGAAATTTAGTCCTACCAAAACTGAAGCCATGCTATTTTCGACTAAAATTAATTCTAGTCCTAAATTACCTCTTCGAATGAATGATGTTCTTATACCTGAAGTAAGTGATCATAAACACCTAGGGCTGGTTCTTCAGGAAGATGGAAAGTGGCACAAACATATTGATTATCTTGTCCGTAAAGTGAGCCCACTAATTAATTGCTTGCGTAGTCTAAAATACAGGTTAAATCGAAGAACGCTTGAAATTATGTACAAATCTTTTATCTTACCCATATTTGACTACTGCGATAACATTTGGGATAATTGTAACAAAGAACAAGTAAAAATGCTAGAAAACCTACACTTGGATGCTCTTCGAACAATATGTGGAGCAGTACGAGGAACTAGTCACGAAAAGCTTTACAGGGAAACGGGTTATTGCTCATTGTCTGACAGGCGACATTATCATAAATTATGTATATATTACAAAATGGTCAATGGGCTGACTCCTAAATACCTATCATTATGGGTCCCACCTAGTATCTCCAGCATAACAGGATATGACCTTCGTAACTCCAACGACTTCCAGACAAATGCTGGGCGCTTATCCCAGTATAACCGATCTTTCCTGCTTTCTGTTGTTAAAGCATGGAATGCACTTGATATCAATATCAGAAATGTAGATTCCCTATCTAGGTTCAAACAATTGATTTCCACAGATATTCAGATTTCTTCAAATTTTATATACATTGCTAGTTATGGCCAGCGACAATACCAAGTGATCCTATCCAGAATTAGGCTAGGTTGTAGTGATTTAAAAGCACACTTATTTGACAGATTCCTGATTGATGATCCCACTTGTCCATGTGGCCATAACAGAGAAGATGCTATCCATTTTTTTCTGTCATGTCCCCGCTATGCCCAGTTTAGACCCGACAAATACTTTGTCCTTAACCACCTCAGCATATATACCATACTTCACGGCAATGACGACTTATCTCCTCTAGACAATGAAAACCTAATAAAATCCGTACAGAATTATATAACTGAAACTAACCGCTTTACGGAATTCAAGTAACAACCTATAAACATAAAATGCACTTGGTATCTTGTTCTTTATTTTCCTTTCTTTATTTTTATTTTGTTTTGATTCATTCATTAATGTTCTATTGTCTGCTCCATAGAATTAAGTCACGGTAATAATGAATTATATGCGGAGAAGCATTGACATAGGCCATATGGCCTGTTTACTGATCCTATTTCCATTTTCTTATGTTGTGTACTCTGAAAAATGTAAACATTATTGGAAATAAAATACTGTTTAAATCAAGTATGACTCACCATTATAGACAAATTGCGTTCACGGTGGTGTGGACCTTGTCTTTGCATGGCATCTAATTAGTATTTGGAGCACAGGCGGACAGAAACCATGAATGGATTAAATTTGCATTAGTCGTAATGAAGTTCCAGTTCTACTCCCTGATTCATCAGGCGACAGTCTAGGGGATAGGGCGTTTGCCCTGGAAGGTCGATCAACATAAACACCATTCACCCCAACAATCTGTTTTAAACATTTCAAGCAACTAAGGCGGGGACATTTCAACCACGCTCCATCACCCATTCCGGTTTTGCTGAGTGGAGCGGCGCGGAGAGAAGGAACTGGTCGCCAGAGCGAAGAAGGCATCGCCTGGGTTTGTGGAGAGTGACAAGGTCCTTGAGATAAGAACAGAAATTGTCGTCACAGATACAGTTATGGGTGAGATGGTAAATCTTGAAGCTGATGCGTTGCATTTTGAATTCTCTCTAGTTTTGACATGAGTGAGGCTGAGATGTTAAACAGAGGGCGTCGGAGTAGTCAAGTGCGAGAGTTTGCATCATGAGTTTAGTTATTATTGTGTCTAGAAGATATCGTACACTACCGAGAACAAAACATGTACACACCTGTACACACCTGTACATGATTTGGTCTCGTCGCTCTATGGATGAAATAAGGCAGACTCGCCATTTAAGTTTATCTCGCACATATTCAGGACTTGGAAGATACACACTGAGCTGTAGTTTCACATGAAACCACGCGTATGTACGCGGAAGGTGACGTGAAAGGAAATCAAATATTCATGAGTAAATACAACAGGGATAAGGTAGCCCCCTTGCGCCTATATCATTGTGGACACACTGGACCAAAGTAGTCGTTGAAGACACCTTCATCCGAGTTTTGAAGGTACTGTAGGCTTGAACAACGTGATTTCTACTTTCAACAAAGGTAGGTAATTACTAGTCTTGTTTTTATTTAGATTACGTTTGTGGAATGTGATAGCAGTTGAATTAGTTAAGTTGTTTCTTCAAGTTGTGTGTTGTACGTGCGTCTTTCGTTTTTGTTTGCTTGTTCGTTTTTGTAACGCCACACTCAGCGCTATTCCACCTATATCACGGCGATCTGTAAATAATTGAGTCTGGACCAGACAATCCTGTGATCAAGATCATGACCATTGATGTACGCAATTGGGATACGATGACATGTGTCAACCAAGTCAGCGAACCTGACCACCTAATCACGTTAGTCGCCTTTTACGACAAGCCTGGGTTGCTGAAGACCAATTCATGTTTGTATGTGCATGCAGCCTATACAGGCCAACGAGTCAGTTACGGATATTTTCCTCTATAATAAACAGAATATATCAACATATGGATCTTTGGTTTAGACTTAGATTTCGAAAGCGTAAAGGTATTGTGAAATGAGCCATCCAGAGCCTTATATCTACGAAAAAAAGTAACTGTACGTCGTAAAGTGTTGCTATTAGTGGGTTTCATTACACAGCCTTACACCACAGAGAGACGACCAGGTCACGTCAAAGGCATTGGGGTTTTATAAGTTTCCTCTTTCGCCTCATTGTCAACCCGAAACCGTGAGAATTGATCTTCAGTAACCCATGCTTGTCACAAGAGGCGACTAACAGGATCGGGTGGTCAGGCTCGATGACTTCCTTGACACATGTCATCGGTTCCCAATTGCACAGATCAATGTCCATGCTGTTGATCACTGGATTATTTGGTTCAGACTCGATTATTTACAGACCACCGCCATATAGCTGGAATATTGTGCGGCGTGAAACTAAACTTACTCACCTATCAACCCGTACGATTCACTTTTCTTTCATTTCAGAAATGTCCAATTCATCTTGTGAGGAAACGGGACATGTCAGTGGTCCCAACTTCATCCAGCTTTATCCCTCCATCGTCTTCTTCTGTGTGCTGCTGTTGGTTGTGGGGATCCCAGGGAACGGCCTAATCCTCTACATCTACACCAAGAAGATCAACATCCCTATCATCAGCTTCTTCATCAAGGTCCTCGCTATCCTCAACCTTGTCTGCACGTCGTGTCTGCTACCGGCGCTTGTGCTATTCAAGAGTAACATAAAAGAGGAACTTTTCTGCAAATGGTTTGCCGTTGGGCAGCATGTCTTTCTTATCAACACTGGCGTGATTTACGTCACAATCGCTATTCAGAGATACAGGAAAATGTGTACAGTTAATCAGTCTCAGATAAATGCATCCACGGCCAAGAAGATATTATTGGGATGTGTCCTGTTTTCTGTGACGACGTGTTTCCCGCATATGTTTCTGCTGCGAGTAACCAGGGCAAACGTAAAATTCCGTTGCGTGTCACAAGTTCCCTACTGTGGATATGAACAAACCTATCTCTACACCCATATATACATTACGTGGATGTTGCTTGAACTGTGTGTTGTCGTTGTAACACTGGTCGTTCTGTACTCGTTAATAGGAAAGCACATAGCAGCCCACAAACGTCAAATGTCAAGGTACCCTGTGTCAGAGGGTCAAGGTCATACAAAGCTGTCGAATCCCACTGGCATGTTCTTCACACTGACAATGATATTCCTCCTGAGTGTTGCTCCAAGGATTGGGATGGCTATATATACACGCCAAACCATTACCAATGCTACCTACCCGCAATCAGTTCATCATCTGAGGGATGTGATCATCATGCTGCCCTTCATCAACTGTGTGTCCAACCCGTTCGTCTATGTATTCACATCAAAGGTGTTCCGGATGCATGTTGTTTCTCTGTTTTGTGCTGAAAGAAGGATAGAGTCTACGTCACCACCGTCGATAACCATCCGGACACAAGAATCTGTTTTGTAGGATACCGAAGAGATTTCTAGAAGAGCACAATAAGTTGCGGACACATGCCACGTCACACCGAAACTCGACGGCCTAGGAGGGACATGTTGAGGGGCGAGTTCACTTTGAGGAGGCACAGATGAAGCAGTACATGAAGCAGCTTCAAGAGGAGGAGATCAGCATCACCTGAAGCAGTTTTAGAAAAAAAAGAAACTTTTTCGTAAAGAATGAGGTGTTCATTTGCAAATTGGAAACGGACCACGAAATGGCGAAGTTAACTTCCGCGAGCCTATTGATTTGCCCCCTTCAATTTATTTAACCATTATGTGGTCATCTTTTGCAAAACAAAAAATGTAAAATCTCACCGTCAGAAAATAATCAGTCTCAATTTTTCCGCTGAGCGTAAAATGCCAAATAACAGTGATAAACGATCACTGACAATCTCTTTAGACACCCGGTGTTCTCAAAATGGATGTTAACAATCACCCACCCTCTCAGTCCCTCCAGATACTCAGTGTTGTCCACAGCGAGTTGTCAAACAGGATGACGCGACCAACGTCAAAATTTCGTAGAATATGAGTACAAATAATGACTGCAACTTTCACCTATGCTGAACAAAAATAGTTAGGGATATATGTAAATTTTGAAATTATGAATTATGATCTATTTATTCATTGACACACTGACAAAATATCAATCATAAAAATACCAATATCCCTAACTTATTTTGTCCAGTATATATAGTTCGGTTCATAATTATTGAGAATTTTTCATGTCAGTTTGAACTCCTAGGTTTTTTCATGAGCTCCACTGATGATGAAATTCTGCTATTAGTCCAAGGGAGGCAACTCTTCTTGTCTTTCTAGACATGTCAGATTAGAGTTACCTCCCCTGAAATTTAAGCAGAAGACATTTTCCAAAACAATGTCCAAAATGGCTGCTGATGAGAAAAGAAGGTTGATTTTAGATTTGTACATTGAGGTATCACAGATGTCCATACACTGTCAGAAAGAGCTGACACTCCTCTATCAGCTGTGTACAGGGTTAAGAAGAATATTGAGAGTGGAACTGGAATTGAGCACAAGAAAGGGGCAGGGAGGCCCAGAAAATTGGAATTTGGAGATCGGGTCAGACTTGGTATTTTGGCTTCAACTAAGAAAAGAGCAAGTATATCCAACATCAGGTATGAGATGCTAAATAGAGGCTCACCTGGTGTTTCTAAATCCACTATCAGACGAACTGTGGGTTCAAATCCTGGATAGTTTTAACCTGATAAAGTAATAGAATCTGTAGTTTACTGAGGCAGTGTAATCCCAAAAATAACATGTTTCATTTGAACACTTTCTATATAGCATTGTGTATTCACAACTCTTACATCCACCCGCACCAAGGATGTTGTACCAATCTGAGAACAGACAAACAGCCCATAGTCGTCTCATGTTATAAGCATGTTATTCTACATGTAAGGTGACATTAACTATAGTAATATCCCATTAGATCATTATGAAATACCTGATTATATGTGTTGCTAGCTCGCAAAACAGCACATGCCTGTAAATAATTCACCGAAAAGTGAGTGTATGAGGAATAATCAGTCACTACAAGTATTTTGAGAAAACCACTGTTTCATTCATGCTACAGCTAGCTTACTAGTGCTCGTTCTACTGATGAAAATATTGATGTTCTTGTAGTTATGGTCAATAATATATCTCGAGATTACTTGATTCTTTTATTGTGATGTGTTATGAAAAAAATCCCATACATCTTACTGTTGGTAGATCATAATGACCAAAAGAGCGGATTTATGAGGATGTTATACAACAAAAAATAGCAATATCAATAAATTATGAAACAAACATGTTTTCTTTTATGTATTACATTGATATATATTTTTGCAAGTAATGTTTCACGTGTCACTCGTGCCAGTTTCACAACCATGCAGTCACTGAAAGCAAACAATGTATACTATTCACACTTTGCTTAGGATCAAATCACTGATTCAACAGAAACTATAGTGTGGGGTCAAATTTGTTTTTTTAATATCTAAGCCTATTGTAAGCATGGATCCATGTTTTCAGTATGTCACTGCATCTTGTGGATCCCCTACCTGCTATTGCCAGGTGTTGTGTACTTGTCAATGACCGGTGCCATGATTTGCAAAATGGTTGGTTGGTGCCATGAAAACAATTCTATGGTTACTCATGTATCAAGTGCATACGGTTAGCTTAAAGTGTCTGTTTTCCTAAAGATGTGTTACCATATCATTATTTATCCAGTTTTAAATGGATACAATTTCAAATCATAAATCTACGTTTAAGTAAAGTTTGTGATCCTTAGCAAAGCGTGAGTAGTATACATTGTATGTCACTTTGTGACCAGCCTAGTGTTGTAGTGCAACTACCTGTGAACTGTTCAGGCCCTGGGGTATCCAAGTGGTTAAATTGTTTTCACTCAAAGACCTGGATTCGTTTCACCACACGTGTACAATGTGGGAAGCTCCGGGGTGATATTTATGGAATATTGTCGAAAGAGGCGTAAAACTTCACTCACTCATTCACGCTGATGTATTCGAAAGAATGCCTGTCAAGTGTTGCCTCCCTTGCTATTCCCATGATTGTGGGTTTGAACCCCAGATCTGCCTTGGCTACAAGTCTTCAATTGTTGGCAATCGTATGGGATTTGAACATCTATGACTGGCCAGTGGCCACATATGTGACTCACCATTATAAACAAATTGCGTTCACGGCAGTGTTCGAAATAGCCACTGGCCCTCTCTAGTTTCGACATGAGTGAGGCTGTGATGTTAAACAGAGAGGGTTGGAGTAGTCAAGTGCGAGAGTTTGCATCATGAGTTTAGTTATGGTTGTGTCTAGAAGATATCGTACATTACCGAGAACAAAACCTGTACACACCTGTACACACCTGTAATGGATTTGGTCTCGTCGCTATATGGATGAAATAAGGCAGACTCGACGTTTAAGTTTATCTCGCACATATTCAGGACTTGAAGATATACCCTGAGCTGTAGTTTCACATGAAACCACACGTATGCACGCGGAAGGTGACGTGAAAGGAAATATTCATAAGTTCATAAGTAAATACAACGCCTATATCATTGTGGACACACTAGACCAGAGTAGTCGTTGAAGACACCTTCATCCGAGTTTTGAAGGTACTGTAGGCTTGAACAACGTGATTTCTACTTTCAACAAAGGTAGGTAATTACTTGTCTTGTTTTTATTTAGATTATGTTTGTGGAATGTGATAACAGTTGAATTGGTTGTTTCTTCAAGTTGTGGGTTGTACGTGCGTCTTTCGTTTTTGTTTGCTTGTTCGTTTTTGTAACGCCACACTCAGCACTATTCCACCTATATGACGGAGATCTGGCTGGACCAGACAATCCTGTGATCAACATCATGACCAATGATGTACGCAAGTGGGTTACGACCATCCTGGTTCCCGGGCCTCTCATTGGTTTGTATAGAGCAACCAATGAGATGCCCGGGAACCAGGATGGGTTACGACAAGCATTGGTTGCTGAAGACCAATTCATGTTTGTATGTGCATGCAGCCTATACAGGCCCACGAGTCAGTTACGGATGTTTTCCTCTATAATAAACAGAATATATCAACATATGGATCTTTGGTTTAGACTTAGATTTCGAAAGCGCAAAGGTTTTGTGAAATGAGCCATCCAGAGCCTTATATCTGCGAAAAAGTAACTGTACCTCGTAAAGTGTTGCTATTAGTGGGTTGGATTACACAGCTTTACACCACAGAGAGACGACCAGGTCACGTCAAAGGGGTTTTATAAGTTTCCTCTTTCGCCTCATTATCATCCCTATCAACCCGAAACCGTGAGAATTGATTTTCAGTAACCCATGCTTGTCATAAGAGGCGACTAACAGGATCGGGTGGTCAGGCTCGCTGACTTCCTTGACACATGCCATCGGTTCCCAATTGCGCAGATCGATGCTCATGCTGTTGATCACTGGATTATTTGGTTCAGACTCGATTATTTACAGACCACCGCCATATAGCCGGAATATTGCTGAGTGCGGCGTAAAACTTAGCTCACTCACCTATCAACCCGTACGATTCACTTTTCTTTCATTTCAGAAATGTCGAATTCAAATTGTGAGGAAACGGGACATGTCAGTGGTCCCAACTTCATCCAGCTTTATCCCTCCATCGTCTTCTTCTGTGTGCTGCTGTTGGTTGTGGGGATCCCAGGGAACGGCCTAATCCTCTACATCTACACCAAGAAGATCAACATCCCTATCATCAGCTTCTTCATCAAGGTCCTCGCTATCCTCAACCTTGTCTGCACGTCGTGTCTGCTACCGGCGCTTGTGCTATTCAAGAGTAACATAAAAGAGGAACTTTTCTGCAAATGGTTTGCTGTTGGGCAGCATGTCTTTCTTATCAACACTGGCGTGATTTACGTCACAATCGCTATTCAGAGATACAGGAAAATGTGTACAGTTAATCAGTCTCAGATAAATGCATCCACGGCCAAGAAGATATTATTGGGATGTGTCCTGTTTTCTGTGGCGACGTGTTTCCCGCATATGTTTCTGCTTGGAGTAACCAGGGCAAACGTAAAATTCCGTTGCGTGTCACAAGTTCCCTACTGTGGATTTGCACAAACCAATCTCTACACCCATATATACATTACGTGGATGTTGCTTGAACTGTGTGTTGTCGTTGTAACACTGGTCGTTCTGTACTCGTTAATAGGAAAGCACATAGCAGCCCACAAACGTCAAATGTCAAGGTACTCTGTGTCAGAGGGTCAAGGTCATACGAAGCTGTCGAATCCCACTGGCATGTTCTTCACACTGACAATGATATTCCTCCTGAGTGTTGCTCCAAGGATTGGGATGGCTATATATACACGCCAAACCATTACCAATGCTACCTACCCGCAATCAGTTCATCATCTGAGGGATGTGATGAACATGCTGCCCTTCATCAACTGTGTGTCCAACCCGTTCGTCTATGTATTCACATCAAAGGTGTTCCGGATGCATGCTGTTTCTCTGTTTTGTGCTGAAAGAAGGATGGAGTCTACGTCACCACCGTCGATAACCATCCGGACACAAGAATCTGTTTTGTAGGATACCGAAGAGATTTCTAGAAGAGCACAATAAGTTGCGGACACATGCCACGTCACACCGAAACTCGACGGCCTAGGAGGGACATGTTGAGGGGCGAGTTGACTTTGGGGAGGCACAGATGAAGCAGTACATGAAGCAGCTTCAAGAGGAGGAGATCAGCATCACCTGAAGCAGTTTTAGAAAAAAAAAAAGAAACTTTTTCGTAAAGAATGAGGTGTTCATTTGCAAATTGGAAACGGACCACGAAATGGCGAAGTTAACTTCCGCGAGCCTTTTGGTTTTCCCCCCTTCAATTTCTTTAACCGTTATGTGGTCATCCTTTGCAAAACAAAAAATATAAAATCTCAACGTCAGAAAATAATCAGTCTCAGTCCCTTCAGATACTCGGTGTTGTACACAGCGAGTTGGCAAACATGTGCGTCAAACAGAATGACGCGACCAACATCAAAATTTCGTAGAATATGTGGACAAACAATGACTGAACCTTTCAACTATACTAAACAAAAAATAGTTTGGGATATATGTAAAATATCCCAATATCCCTAACTTATTTTGTCCAGTATATATATACATGTATATCAATGGAGAATACAATAACTGTAGCATCTGTATACAAGATGCATTCTAGTGTCCTGAAGCGGGCGGTGTGGTAGCCTAGTGGTTAAAGCGTTTGCTCGTCACGCCCAAGACCCGGGTTCGATTCCCCACATGAGCACAATGTGTGAAGCCCATTTCTGGTGTCCCCCGCTGTGATATTGATGGAATATTGCTAAAAGAGGCGTAATACTAAACTCAGTCAGTCATTCTGAGTCAGGTTTGCATTAGCCACATGTAGAGAGTAACTTAGTTTTATATACACTGGTTGTGGACATGAGCTGTAAATCACCAACTCGGTGTTACATGCAGTTACTGGAAGGCGTACAACAAGGACTGGTCGGCTCGGCGTCAGTATGGTGTGTCTGAGTGGGGTATTCATGCTTAACTGCGGCATGGTACCTCAGTGAGCTAGCACTATTAAACCAGCTTAAGTCTGGGCTAGTACAAGAAGCCGCACATACACATACACACGCATCCACGTCGTCATATGAGCGAAATAATCTTAAGTACGACGTTAAGCCCCATTTCACCTCACCTCACTTCGAACATACGACCACTCATTAATTTTGTTCTCTGATTTTGTATCAATGCATTCCCGCAATTCTGTTTACAGGGATCACGGGAGGGTCTAAGGCCTCCATTCGCGGTGAGAGTAGAGCCCCTTAGGCGTGAAAGAAACCTACGATGGTGCGAACGTAGGTTTCGACACTGACCTTCATGTCACTAATGATCCCTGGAAACATTGTCCCTGTATGCTGTGGAATCACTTTCTCATAGACATGAAATATATCTACCCAGTTGATTTTAGGGTACTGAACATAGATGTTTATAATATATGCTTATTAGTTGTTGGAAACATAAATGTATCATATGTTGTTTTGGGCTTACATTGCGAGTATTTGTGGCTAGGTGATGAACATGTTTGTTTTAATCATGATAATGTTATCAGTATAACACTTCTAACTTCATCTTATTTGATCATGTAAGGTCAATACTTGGCTTCGCGTTTGGATCATGATATGAGATCGGGCAGTGTCTCTGCATAATTGTATTCTAATGTGGGAAGACATCCCTCAGGGTGTAGATCGAACATGTTCACTTTTCTGAAAACTTCACGCGAAATACTTCTGACGTACCAAGCATCATGTAAAGCCAAGAAAGGATTAAATTTTACACACACATTTCTCGGATCCCGGTACCAGTAAGAGACGTAATTCTGCACAACACCATGTTCCTTGATTTAGTGTTTGTTTGTTTGTTTGTTGTTTAACGCCGCACTCAGAAACATTCCAGCTATATAACTGCGGTCTGTAACTAATCGTGTGGTATAGACAAACCAGTAGTCAACACCATGGCCATCGATCTACGCAGTTGATCGATACGATGCTTTATGTCTCAACCAGGGCCCAACTGCACAGAACAATCTTAGTTACAATCAATCTTAGACCCCTACAATCAACTTTACAATCGCCATACAATTGCCCTAATGGTGACAGGCCGGGAAAGCCACATTTCAAAAATGACTGTTGCCGGGAAGGCCACATTTCAATTACATGGCTGTAGCCGGTAAAGCCACATTTCCAATAGATTAATTAATTATTGGATTACCGTAACCGGTAAAAGACTGTCCCCATGTATAATATTGTTTTCACAAGGAACTAATAATCTTTCCTACTCACAAGCGCGGTGTTTAGCTTCTTCGGTTGAATTTATTTCTCAAAATGGAACCACCTCCGGTGGTACATGAGTACATAAAATTGAATGCAGAATATACAAAGTATGTAAGAAGGTGACAGGAAAGATACGCAATGATTACTGAAAACTAGAACATATACATTTGATAAATTTAGATAGGTGTTTGATTGTTGAAATTTTAGTAGTTGACATCATTTTTGTTACATGTAGACAGATTAGGGAAGGAACAATAGCTATCTTCTAGGTGAGTGATGCGTTGTTGGCTAAAACATGAACATCTAAAGATATAATGGAATTCATCCCCAGTTAACTATACGGATCATGAGGGCGACCTCCTTCATCTGCAGTAGGTGGTGTAAAAAAGAATGTTTGTGATCTTATGCCATTTTGTCTGTTTGTACACATGGCAACAAACTAAACCATTATCATTATTACTGTTTTACAGATTAAGATTTATTATTATTACCTGATATTATTATCATATGTAATATACCTATTAGTATGTTATATTGTGCTAATTATAGAAACAAACCCTGTTGTGATGTGAATAAAATTATGAGGAAACATGTCTTGTTTTGTTAAATACGGTAACATGTTTGAATCACTGAGCATGTTTTGACAGCATAGCCGGGAGAGCCACATTCCATGTTCACGCAACCGTAACTATTGCCGGAAGAGCCACACCAATTTAAGCTATCTGTGTCGGAAATGTGGCTCTCCCGGCCTATAACCGCCCTAATCCACTTGCACAAAGCCGATCTTAGAGCGATTGTAAGACGGCATGTATTTAAGATCGCGATCTAAGCTAAGATCGAACTCTTCAACGGTGGAGGTACGAATTTTCTTAAACTCGACTCCTGTCTAAAGTTGTCTGCAAGTACGCATAGCATGCGGCGCAAATACAAAGTGATACTGGTCCCTCCACACAATACATACCTCCCTCAATCGCACCTTGCAAAATTTCCATGAAACATTCCCAGAAATCTTCGAAGGAAACGATTACGTGAACGATAGCATATATTTTTATATTCTAACTGATTTTGTCTTAGTTTATCATTAAAGTAATCTACAATTAGATAACAGTTACCGTGCAAAATCGAGTTTCTTTCTAATCCATAAATCTAAATTTGATTATGCATTCTAAATATATACAAGTATTCATCAAATAGGGATATACACATGCTGAGGCATTACAAATATGTGTTTCAAAGAATTTCACTTTTAGAAAAATATTCATCAACGCAATAGGGTTACATCATTAATATATACTGTGAATAAGTATTTAACAACTGCTCTCTCGAAATATTATTTAATACTTAAATTAAACGAGACTTACCTGGAAATTGAAGTTTGATTGTAGTTCTGCTACGTCACTGGAATGATGGAGGTTTACTTGAAATTGCGCAGAGCGATCGAGGGTCAGTCTTTAAAGCATCTGTGCCATTATGACACCAGACAGACATATGCTCAGTGCATGTATGGGAGGGTGCGGAGGGCAAGTAAACCTCCAGCATTCCAGTGACGTAAGTCTTGTTTAATTTAAGTATTCTGCTACGTCACGAATGCTTCCGGTTCCTTTGAGATTTCAAAGCCATTAATGGCACAGATCCAAGAAGCAACAAACTCAATTGAAGGATACTATATCTATGTGTATTTTAATGCAATCAAAACTTTCCTGAGACCAAGCGTGCTTACATCTGCATATTCAACTAAACTCTGTCAAAAAAGAAACGCAACCCCTGTATTTTAGAGATTTTGATCTGAAGTTTTAGGACGACACGGCATTTTAATTATTTAAGACAGAAGTCTGAAATTTGGCAGAATAATAACCCAGATGGGCATGTTTAAAATTGTCATTTCAAAAGTCATCTCACAGACACCAGTTTGTCACCAGGGGGGCGTCTTTCTCAGTATCTCGTATGAGCACCACGCGCTGCAATCACTGCACGGCATCTCCTTGGACAAGAACGGATAAGACGCCGGATTCTTTCCTGGGGAATGGCTCTCCACTCCTCCTGCAGTGCAACGGCGAGCTGTTGCAGCGTCTGTGGCGGCGGCTGACGTTGACGGACGCGTCGATCCAGAGTATCCCACAGGTGTTCAATAGGGTTGAGGTCTGGTGATTTAGAGGGTCATGGCAAGACATTGACGTTGGAATTCTGCAGAAAGTTCATTGTTGCACGTGCAGTATGAGGCCGGGCGTTGTCCCGTTGAAAATCTGTGTCTGTTGGTCAATAATCGGGAGAAGGTGAAGCTCTAACACGTGGTTGATGTAACGTTGGGCTGTCAGGTTCCCTGGAACGATCACCAAGTCTGATTTCTGGTTGTATGAGATGGTTCCCCAAACCATGACGCTTTCTCCGCCAAATCTGTCCACCTGTCGGACGCAGATGGGCGCAAAACGTTTATGACGTCTCCTATACAGACGCTGTCTTCCGTCGTGACGTTGCAAAAGAAAACGTGATTCATCAGAAAACCAGATTCGCCTCCAGTTTTGTAAAGTCCGTATCCTTACGTTGTTGCACCACCTGAGTCGTCGGCGTCGATGTAGGGGGCGTAGTACAGGTGTAACAACTGGTCTACAGGCACGTAAACCCGCTTCTTTCAGACGGTTCCTAATCGTTTGAGCTGACACTCTCCTCAAACCTGGTATTTGTGTGGCAGTCACGGTTGGTGGTAGGGCATGCCGATTACGCAGGTGACGGACCGGATGTACCGATCTTGAAGGGGTCGTGATTCTTGGCCTTCCACTTCTCGGGCGATCGTTGGTCAAATTGAAGTTGTTGTAGCGGCTCCAAAGTCGGGATATCGTTGTTTTGTGAACATTTAGGTGCCGTGCAACAGTTCCAAAACTTTCTCCGGCTTGAACACGACCAATGGCGATATTTCGGT